GGACGAGCGGAAGTCGCTTTCTACCCAATAGGGGAAGTCACGGTGCTCGTTTTAAGGACCGTTTTAGCCTCGAACACGAAATCCGTTTTAGCCTCGTTTCTGCAAAACGGCTCTGGAGCCGTTTTGCACAAATCGCGAACACGGTTTTCGTTTTAGCTCGGCATCTCTCGGCATTTCAGTTTTAGGTAAGCTCGGAGTCGCAAATCCTCTTGCCATATCTAGGCTTAACTGAAGCCTTGGAGAACTTATGTCCCCTCCCGAGTGTCTAGTTTGTGCTGGGAAGTGACAGTGTCCTTCTGTAGTATATACCAAGTGTTTAAAACCATCTCAACTTAAAGAGTGCTGTACCTTAAAGAGGAATCACGGCTCTACATTGGAACTCCGCCTACAGTCAGTGGCTGTAAACGTTGTGTAAACGCGTGCTTGAACGAAGCGTTGAACTGCCCACAAAACGGATTTTATGTGGGGTGGTCACGGTTGATTTCGGTTTACGATGCGTTTTAGAGGTCGACAACGAAATGCAAAACGGACGCTAAAACGGCCTTAAAACGCCAACCGTGACTTCCCCTAATGTACTAGTAGCCGCAGCCCACTCCAACGTCTTTCCAACCAACCCTAGTATCGCAATTGACGGCGCGAGCAGCAAATACACGTCGGTCCCGCACTATAACGTTCCTCATTGAAGACATAAGTTTGTTTATTACGCCAGTCATACAAAGAGATATACAGATTACATCCGAGATGAAGTATACACAACGAACTGAAAGGCAAGTAAAATGGTGAAAATCCAACTACAATCCCTTCAAGTTATGATATCGATGAAGCCTGGCCACGAATAAGACATGGGAGAAGGCGAGAGGACTGACAGAAACGATGTGATGACCAGAAAGAACCTATCACTAGGCTTGGAGAAAACACGAAGCACGTGAACGACGAAGAACTCCGATGTAAGATCTCCCAGGTGTAGGGGAATAAATCTCCACACGAACGAGAAAATCTCTCTCCACGTCCCGCATACCGCAAACAGCATCTGTCAATAGGCAGCAACTGCCCTGACGCCGGGACACCTGGAAGCACATTCCGGAAGGACAGAACAGAAACGAGTCGTCTGCATACCACAACACCGGAGGATTGGAGACAGCGTCCTCTCGCCTCAAGGAAAACGTAAACCCTTCGGGCTCGACGACGGGCTACTTAGGGCATGAGGGGCGGTGGCGATGTTCAAGCGGATCGGTCGCCGGTCTAAAGAGAGGTTAGAAAATTTTAGAATATCCAAGGTGAGACGCCTGCCAATACTAAAGTTAGGCAAAGCAACGCGAGGAGGTTGATGGAATATCTGCTCACCTATGCTGTTCTGGACTTGATGATTCCACGAATAGGAGAGTTGGCGCTACTCAGTACTTATCCTCCCTGAACAGCGAGCGTCAGAGGGCGTCAAGATGACACCCTCCAACACTCGTGGAACTTCGCGTGAGTATGCGTGCATGCTATTCATTAGAGAGAGCACATACCGTCCACGATACCCGACGAACCATTCGCGCCCTAGGAAGTCGCCAGTCGTGATAGCACATCTAGTAAAGGCCGGAGTAAGTATACTGCTCAGACAGGACTCGAGTATGGCACACACCTCACCGTCAGCACGAAGCCGCCAAATCTTGAAGGACCCTCCAACCAGCCGGAATCCTGCGTCGAACTCTCCGTTGCCCCTCAAATCCGACGCATCGTCGGAGCCCAGCCCGCCATCTCACCTTCAGAGCCTGCGCTATCCAAGAAGTCAGGATCAACCGCCATACCAATGTGCCTACAACAGTGCTGCTTCCAGCAAGCACGTCACATTCCCGAAACTGTCAGTGACCGGATCGCAGCAGGTTTGGATAGATTGTTGCAGTCGCGAGATTGAGGAGCGAGGAGTCGTTAAGAGTCATCAATGTTGAGCGTCTCGCTGTCATCGTGGATAGAGTGAAAGGTCGTAGAAATGATATGAAGACTGTCTAGGCATGAGAGTGGCCTCGGAGAATCGGCTTCACCGCTTCGACCAAGGAATCTTGAGCACCAGACCGAGTGTAGGGAATCCACCGAGGACAAGAAGGTACAAAACCACGGAATAGAAGAAACCAACTCCACAATTTGAAACAGAAGAGAACGGAATCCAGAATAGACAGGCTGAGAGCAAGATACCATAGCCTTATAGGAATCTTCATCTTGATCAGCCATGTCGAAAAAGCGTGCGGCGTCCCTCATGAATTAATCCAAACCATATAAAGCGTGAACATTGTCGCATTATACCCTGCTTCAGTCGCCGCTGATGACGTTGGGAGCGTCGTCCGCCATGTCAAACCCGAACAGATCGTCGTCCAGAGTTGTACTCGAACCATTGCCATCCTCGGTTCCAGAAAGATGCTCGATAGACAGAAGCGCGTCGATGGGACCGCCATCTTCAACAGGACCCACGGGTAGTGCATTGTCAGCAGCCTCGAACAGTTGATCAAACTCCAGACCAAGTTGTTCCCGTTGATCCGCGCGAGTACAACCGCCAGCACGAGGATCAGTGATGCTGTCGTCGATGTCCGAGTCCTCGCCATTCCCGAAGATCTGCTCCGAAAGGCTGGGCTGGAGCTCTGGTTCATCCACGTCGACCACAGTGCCGACCGAGTCGCTGGAGCTGCTGGAGCCAAAGAGATCGTCGATATTGTCATTAGCGGGAACAGCGTCGCCGTCGTACAGTGCATCCGCACCGGCGTCGCCCATAGCGAGACCCACATGTTGCTGTGGCTCGTGATGAACATCGTCCGCGACATACCGGTTTTCGTTAACACCAGGAGAGGAAGGGAGGACCATGGGCTCGAAAGTACCAGTCGCAGTCTGACCGCCAGCTTTCATCGACATCGTCAGAAGAAGTGCGGTGGGCCATCGGCTGGAAGCCAGTAGCAGCATCGACTACGGCATAGTTCCCGTCGGCGCTATAGCCAGACACCGACTCGGCGACGCATCCATTCATCGGAGAATCAGCAGTAGTCCTACAGGCCACGACATGGGAGATGATATTGTCGTGAAATGCCCCGAGCGCTGGCCCCTGGCCAACAAATGACTGCAGGCCCGCACGCCGCTCCCGAGTCGCCCTGCTGTCGACGTTGCCGTTCTTCGCCATAGATGTCGCACGTCACGATACCCAGCATCCGGTCCCGAACGGTTTGGAGGTCTCCGGGAGAAGCCAGCTCGCGCAATTCCTGCGGTAGTGACTTGCGCATGAGGGTCAGCACCGATTCGCGGGTCTTCGGCGGTCCATGTACAGCGGGGACGTCCACAGCGATCTTGCACTTCCTAGCGTAAGGCGCCATCCGGTTAGCTTTAGACCGACCATTCTTGAGGATTGGCTTTAATGGCTTGAGCTGCCCGAGAGACATCAGCGTATCAGCTGGACCACCAGGCGAGACGTCGGAAGAAACATTGACCACCGTAACCAGAGGTAAAGGGGGCAGAGACTCGACAGGCGTTGAAGGAACAGCTGTGACGTCCTCAGACAAGCCCACAAGAGTACCCATCAAGAAATCCGCTTCCGTAGCGATCGGCTCCTTGCCCAAGTAGGCGAAGATGCTGACATCTGAGGCGAGGCTGTCGATGGTCTGCTGAGGAGCTGTGAAGGTGCAGATCGGCACCGTTGCATCCAGCTCGACCGGGAAACTGAACTGGAAGACCTTCGCGACGATCTAGGGAAGCGAGTGAGCATCGATGAAAGCACACCCAGCGTCCGTCACAAACCTGCTTGCCCTCACACTCATCCCTTGCGGCGTTGTCCAAGAGAAAGAGACTATCCATATCCATGAGCGACATCCGGTGTTCAGAACGGGAAACCCTGCAGCGCTTGACGAGATCCGGGCGACCGTCGTCGACGCCATACCAATAAGCTTTCGAGTCGTAGCCGTCGCGCCGACGTTTTCCTTGGCCGGGAACAACACGCGCCGAACCGTCATAGGCCTCCAGGTGCTCTCCAAGGCAGATGCGACGGAAGTGGGGCACAGCAGCGAGCTGAGAATCCAAGATGGAGTTGCGACATTGCCAGTCCCTCCAGCGCGCAATGAGCAACGACTGCTTGATGATTTCCGGGATAGAAGCGCGGAAACGGTCCTTGAACTCGGTACGAGACTCGCCTGGCCTGCGCTTGATCTGCTTGCGACGAGGGGGGAAGAACGGGTACCACGGTGAGAGGAATCCGATACTTGAGGAGCCAGGGTGTAAAGATGGCCAAGTTCGACTACTCGGCGAGCCCGAGGCCAAGAGGAACGAACATGCTGGGCGACGCTGCGTCTGCAAGTGGGATGAAAGAAGGCGCAAGTTGGAGGAAGGAGTGAGAGAGTGAGAGCGAAGAGACGAGAGTAAAGGTTGAAACAGTCGAAATGACGAACCATGACCGTCACGTGTTAACGTCCGCACACTTTCACGGTGAGAAGAGGGTTTCAAGGTGCTTTCGCAATGTGAAGGTTTTCATCCAAGTATACACATATGCATCCGTCTTACCAGCCCGAGTGTCCTCACCGTTGTTTGGTATGTTGCGTCGTCTCGATATCCAATTTGTGACGGTTTCCCCATACTAGTAAATATGATGTGCAAGCTCTTGAGTGCCAGCATCGGGGCGGTCATTGATTTCACACACCACAATCTGTGCACTCGCATCTGCGAGACGGATTAATGTCCTCGTCGAGGTAAATCCTAGAGGCATCACTATCCTTTGTGTCCAGCGGATTGTTCACGGATTTCGAGCGGCTCCAGACTACGCTTGAGAGTCGGGTAACCGACTCGCACGAGAGAAAGCTGCGGAGTACTCGTTGGATGCCACTCGGCAACCGCCTCGTTCAGGCATCCCGAGACCCTGTGGGCAGTGGCGGGGCCGTCACTGGGATGATATACTTGAGGCCGCAACGGTAAGTGTTCAACCGTACCTCGTAACTGCATCGAGGCGATATAAGTCCAGTGTAACTGGCCTGCCTGGCTGCATGCTCTAACGACTCAAGTGCTGGAGACGGAATACTGCGCGTAAATCTAACAGAAACAACAAATGTCAGACAGTGACGGATCCTTCGTCAAACTGACTGTATTGACTTACCGTGTCGCTGAAGTATTCGACTGGAGAAACGAACTTAGCCTTTCTGGCAGACAAGTAGAACCTCACTACATCCTGAATCAGTAACGCTACAAGCTGTCACGGCATATACGGGCAATTTCTAAAGGCCCGCCCAAGCGGATGTCGAGCCGGTATGAAAGTAGGTTTTCTTGGAACCCCGCTTGCTAACGACCTGTGATTGAACACATAGCGGGTTGCCAACGATCTTATGGATATTCAAAGAAGAAGAAAGCAGAAAGTCAAGCCTCGGACTCGTGTTATTCCGGGACTATTTGGATCTGTTTGTGGCTGGGAAGATCTGAGTGGCTGTGATATTTGGCGTCGCGTGGTAATCAAGCTGAAGCCGCTTGCCGACTGTTCGAGACAGGGAACACGACAATGGATTCACCTAAACGCGTTGGCTCACCTTCTCCTGGCTCCTCCGATGCGAAACGGATTCGTCTGACCGTTCCACAGCAAAACCAAGGTGTCGAGGCTGTGGATCCCGAAATTGCTCCTGGCAAAAAGAGTGAGCTGGAGCCAATACAAGGCGGGGACATAGGCAATTTACCCGGCGAGCCGCCTGCCGAGACGCGTCCAGAGACAGGTGGGAGAGTGCGCGTCCTGGGGGAAGGGGAGGAAGATGGCGGTGACGTGGAAATGGGAGAGGGCGGCGACGACGAAGGAGATTCTGGCGAGGAGAACGAAGACGAGGATCCCGCACAGTTAGAAGCGACGAGAGTTCGTCTGGAGGATCAGGCGCGCAAATACTTGGCTGCCCAGACGCACGAAGTCATCATTCCCTCCTACGCTGCCTGGTTCGACATGTCCAAAATTCATTCCATCGAGAAGCGCGCCCTGCCCGAATTCTTCAATTCCAGAAACAAGTCCAAGACCCCTGCCATTTACAAGGACTACCGCGACTTCATGATTAACACCTACCGCCTCCGCCCTTCGGAATACCTCACTGTTACAGCTTGCAGAAGGAACCTGGCGGGTGACGTTTGCGCTATCATGCGCGTGCATGCTTTCTTAGAGCAGTGGGGTCTGATAAACTACCAGGTGCGAGGCAGTCCTCTCGTGCACGTGGTAAGTATACTCATCCTTTTCAGATTGATCCCGACTCGCGTCCTGCCACATTGGCACCACCATTCACAGGCCACTACCGTGTCATTATCGACACACCCCGTGGACTTCAGTCGCTACACCCTGGGACGCGGCCGCCCAACCACCCTCATGCGCAGGGCGTGAACGGTGCTCCCAAGCCCGGTTCCACGTCTACTCCAGCATCCCTCGAACTTCGCTCCAACATCTATCAGACTACGGCGAAAGCCTCGCGGCCCATCAATGCTGAGCAGGCAAAGGAGCTGGCTAACGGTGCTTCTGCTCCTGGTGGTAATGGTCGCGCGACCGCATCGATCACGTTCCAGTGTGATACGTGCGGTGTTGACTGTACGGCCGTGCGGTACCATTCCCTCAAAGTGAAGAACTTTGAGCTCTGCCCACCGTGTTACCTTGACGGTCGCTTTCCCTCGACCATGTTCAGCGGCGATTTCGTCAAGCTGACCAACGCTGCCACCACGAGCGGCAACGCCCACCTCAGCGACAATGACTGGTCGGACGACGAGATTCTCCGGCTGCTGGAGGGCGTGGAGATGTATGATGACGATTGGTCATTGATTGAGGAGCATGTGGGCACGCGATCTGCGCAGCAGTGCATACGCAAATTCCTGGAACTCCCCATCGAAGATCCATATCTGGAGACAGAAGGCTCCATGGGCGGCCTTCGATATGCCCGTATACCCTTCGAACAAGCAGACAACCCGGTGATGAGCGTCGTCGCTTTCCTGGCTGGCGTTGTCGGACCTGGGGTCGCCGCTGAGGCCGCCAAGACGGCATTGCATGCCCTCACAGATGGTGCCACAAAAGAGGAAGAAAAGCAGGACGCCAAACCCCCTGAAGCGGGTGAGGGCGCAACTGCCGGCGCTCAGGGTGATAAAATGGATCAGGATGCTCCAAGTCAGGGCCAAGAGGGCGCTTCAAGTAAACCGAGCACTCCGACCCCTCCGTCAAACGAGATGGTCACGGACAAGGGAGAGGAAAAGCAGCCTTCGGCCCGGATACCTCATTCCAAAGTCGTCCGCGCCGCCGACCTAGCCCTCAAGGCATCTGGCAAGGCCGCGGGGGCCTTGGCGGATGCCGAGGACGCGCAGATCCGCTCTACGCTAGCGAACCTCATCAAACTGACTCTGACAAAGCTCGAGCTCAAAATGGCACAGTTCGAGGAGCTGGAGGATATCTTGGAGGAAGAGAGGAAGGCTCTCGAGACCGCACGGCAGCAGGTCGTTGAGGAACGCGTGACATTGAAGCGTACGCTCGAGAAAGTGCGTAGTGAGCTCCAGAAAAATGGCGCTGCCGCCGCGGCAGATGCTACGTCCCAGACCAGCCTCGGTACGAGCGGGCAGGGCACTATTGTCTCCCAGGTGCAAGAGGGCACCGCTATGGAAGGCGACTCGGGTCCGATTAGCGGAGGAAATATGGCGCAACTCAGCTGAGTCGTTCTTGGTGATATTGCATTCCTTGTAATTCTATTGTTGTCCCTGCTGTCTAATATCATTTATCTTTATTGTTCGGATTGGTCCCGGTCCCGCTGAATCGACTATCATCGTGACGAAGATGTACCGGAGAGCACCTCGGTGTGTAACAACAGGCCGGTAGGTCCACAGCCGTCTGGTTTATGCTCCCGCTTGCCATGACGATCGTCGAATCGAATCGTATCCCACGTACAGAACGTTGCCTTCCGACACGTATGCCCATGCATGGGCTTGTCTATGAGACCCGGCATGTGTATGGAAGCCACAGGCCTCGCGTGCACGGACAGCGGAACGTCTTCATACCAACTGACGTCGAGTTGACGGCGGACTCCGGCTATTAATCAATCTCCGTGGTAGGAGGCCGTATTTCAACTCACCAGATGGACGGACGTGCCTGAGGTTCTCTGGTGTACAAATCATCATAGGGGCATGTAAGACGCCGCAGGTGAAGCGGGAGAACCAGGAGACGCATACGCTGATTTTTACCACCGCTCAAGAAGTCGCATTGTGATTTGGGTCTGATGTTGCACGTATCGCTGCGGACAGCCGAACGGAAGCCAACCGTGGGAATCGAAATCATTGGCTCGGACTCAAATAACCGGAAATGCCAGTGGCTGTCTCCAGAGCAACTCATGCAGTTCAACGCCTCTAAGATGTGTGAACCATAACGTGCAATGACCTGTGGCGGGAGGCATGTATGCAATGACTAGCGTTATCACTCATGGCTTATTTCAGATGTCCGAGTCGTATGGTCATGTTCCCCACAACCTGAGGCGTCAGGACTGAGGAGATTCGAATTCTTCCCGTCGTAAAGGCAAGGCAAACAATCGTCAGACTGTCCAGTCACTGTAGACTGGGTACGTCTGCATTGCCGCCGTGCAAAGCGGCTGCATAACTGAGTAGACATCTTCGCGGACATCCAGATATGCTCATGATGTCTCCTCTACTTCGTCTAGTGTTCCGGGAGGTCCTAGTTGATGCTGAGTCCTTGTTTTATGCCAGGTGAATATACCGCCTACAGCATCCCTAAGCGTGGCCTGAAACGTCGGAGGCACTCAGCGGTTGCGTTCTCCTGGTCGCCTTATGGGCTCTGGCACTTTCGACATCGGTGCAGTCGCCTAATCTCTTAGTCGGCTTACACGATCTCGGACGCCATGCTCTGCTGCTCTTCTACGATGGGCTGCGGGTCAATATACCCGATTGCTCACTTTATCTCCAGCCTCCAAAGTACGCCTGGAAAACCTCTCGAGCACTGCTATGGACGGAGTCTCTCCTCTAAATACTGCGGCTGCTAGTCGCCGGATAGGCAATAGTGATCGGGCATTTCATGCCTGTCTACTTTGGCCATTTTGTGAGTGCTCGACTCCGCTGCAATTGTTGCGCCGCTGCTAAGTCATGCAAGGTCGAATCGCGACGTTCTGTCTACAGGGGTGGGTATACATAGGTCTTCATGTTACCGCCGAAGCCCATTTCTCGTTCCACGCTCTGGTCTCTGTTATTGCGCCACCTAGGCTGTGTCCGATGACGAAGCGTTTCGGCTCTGCTGTACACAGGAGACGCCGAAGCTCTGTCATTTACAACTACCTTCCGGAACGTCACTCCGTTGCGTGGAACGTGTGCCTTGTATCCAATTGGGCCACTTTTGTCTTAGAAAGGTCAAGCCTGTTCTATCATTATAGCCGGGTTCACACTCGAGTTTACTCGCGAGAGACACCCTTCTGCGTGCGAGTTTGTGTCGGGACGTAGTGTACCTAGCGCCACTGTCTAATTCTCTTCCCTCGTCCGCCAGTATCAGTGCTGGCTGGTCCGACTTCGCCGAGGGTACTGGACAGGAGCTAAATAATTGCAGTTGTAGACCTCTCCGCGCGTCCGGTGACACCATGCCGGTGGATGTGGTACGATGTTTCGGAGTTAGGCCGAGACTACACGAGGCATCGCATGTTGGGGTTCATTTGCGCCAGGCTGATAATGTGGCTTCATTCATCCATCACAGCGACAATGCGGCACATGCAGACGTAACGATCGATTTTCATAGGTGACTGTAAGACGTAAGGATCATCTCATTAGCTTCAGTGTAGATTTAAGTCTCTAACTGCGTATTGCTACTGAATAGGATGAGGTGGGCTGGTCTCGCAAGGTGTAGAACGTCATTGTGTATGAGGGTCTGAATGACCTTTCTGTTATTTATCCGGAACAGGCATATCATACATAGAAGGTTGCTCCCTCGGAAAGGCCTGGTAACGGTCTGGTACTACGCTTGTTCGGGACGATCTAGCAGCTACCGCCTTCCAGAGTGTTCAACCTATGCTTTTATTTTGGGCTGAAGTTCCGCTGAATGAATATGAGAGCAGATCTTTCAATGCATCCCGCTCTTCCGGCAACATGTGTGCCCTGGGGAAGGTGCAAGACTTTGTTACCACGACCAAAGCACACCTTCCCTCACGTAGGCAGACGCTTCTAGTCATGCGCGGACTCAATCTCATTGGACCCTATGTTAGGGGTATGTCAGAGCTTCTTCGAGAGGGGAGACCGGATCGACGAATCCGCACCACACGCCAATCACTCTCAGCCAAAGTCGAGACAGCGTCTGATGCTTGATAAGAAGATAATTGAATGCTGTGGTTCTCACCCAAAGTCTGCGAGCAGCGGAGTCTGCTTGCACCCAGCCTTGTTCGGAGCCTTTAGGCGGAGCTAGATGGGATTAAAGTGGGAAACAATAGAAGCACCCACTGTATTCAAAGGTATAACAAATCCACGTCAACGAGAGAGGTTCCGCAAGTTACCGATAACAAGGGGCGGCATCTCTACATTTCTTCTCGGGGAGCCGGTGCGTAGCTTATACATAGCCTCCCCGGAGGCGGTGTATGAATATCAAGCCGGGGTCTGGTTCGAAGGGCGGCTGGAGATGACTGTGCGACGCATGGGCATAGATAAGAGGGTACTGCGTACAAGTAGATCAATCCCGTCTTTAAAGATATCGATCATCTTACCAAGTTATAGAGTGGGATAAGACGAACTTGGATGACATCAAGTGTTTGCTTGACCAGAGTCGAGCAGAATGGGTGAGAATGATCTGGCACCAACTTTGTTTGACATCACACGGACAGCTAAGATAGAATAGACTAGTTACCCAGGGCGCGAAATAATATTACCCAGGATGGAGTCCATGCGTCCATAGTGAGACAAAACAGCGTCTTTAGTGGTGAAGGGGATTTGTTGCTGGCGTTGAGTGTCCTTTGGACAGGTGCGTCCAGAGGGGACCTCAAAATTGCACACGTCCCAATGGCAGCCCGTATAGTCTTCCGATAGCACTGGAGCATAGAATCGAAATATTGTCAGGCCAGTAGCCTGCGAGAGAGCGGTGGCATCACCCCACACTTCTGGGTAGTCGGGACACAGCCACTGTACCAATTCGATAGCGGATAATACCGTTGACTGACTCGTCGTGCAAGGCAGTAGCGCAAGCCCTGGATAGTCATGGAGATGACCCCAGTTACGAAGTTCCGAGGCAACATCCTCTTATAAAGGGCAGGCCTTTGCGGGCGAACAAGACGTATGCGATGAGCGAGCAAGTCCGTGAGGCCATGAGCATTCGAGATAGACCAGAGAGTGGGGCATTACTTTACGAACCCCCGGGCAAGGTCGCATAGCGCGGAAGCAACCCCCGCAGCAGCAAAATAACCGTTAAGCCGGAAGGAGACAAGAAATGCAAGCCGATAGCCAGACGACCCGCGCCAGAACTTGTGGCACGAAGTATCGGGGCCGCGCGATATTGCGTCTCCACGTCGCAGACCAGACCACCGTGTCCGATCACAGAGGTGAGTGCATACTGCCGATATACTTCTATGGCCCGGCTGATATCCTGACGGTCTAATGGCTGCCTGGAGGTCCTACAAAAAAATCTTCTGATCCGGAAAGAACGCACACACAAGACTCTAGTAGGGTTTTCAAAGGTCAGTACCATGTAGGTTCGTACCCACGCCTGCGGCATCCATACGAAGGTAGGGGAGCTCCCATCCCAATTTCATGCCGCACGAAACGAGACAACCCGAGCGGGAGCTTCAAAAGATGGGGCGGACATGTGGCTGCGAGACGCCGCCTCCGGTAGACCATTGTGGCGTCAATATGAAGGTCGGGCGCTCCCGCCTCAATTTTGTTCCGCTCGCAGAAGAGAACAAACGGGCGGGAGCTTCAGTCGGGATGGGCGAGTATCGCGTCCGATAGATTCCAACGGGGGGCACCGTGCGCGTTCTGCCCCTTCGCCCACGAACAGAGATACACCGCTCCCGGCAGCGGACCTGCGATTCCCCGACAAGTGTAGCGGCTATCTGGAGGTCCTATAAAAATACAGTGATCCGGGAAAGGGACTGCGGCGGGGCATCAGAGACTGCTGTTGTGGCTCCTGCTAGCAGTCGGAACTGTGGAATCTGACAGAGTATCAGGTGCCGTGGTGCCGTCGGCGGAGGAGACAAAGCCCAGTGGGGACCGTCTCGCGAGATGTCGCCGCCAATGCGCTTGCATAGGCATAGGCCTTTCCATCTCGGTCCCGTCATTTCGAGGTAGAGATAGATGGCTATTCGCAACTGAGCTGCGCCGCACAGATGCAGATGCTGACGAGATCTGAGAAAAGCACGACCGCATCGCCACAGCGGCGGTTGTATCGAGCGACGCGACGCGAGTGCTTCCCCACTGGCCCCGGGGGGCGGGTCCTCGCCGGGAGGTCAGCCTGACCGTAAGAAACGGTCTGCGGCTTGCAAATGGTGGCCGGTGACCAGATCTAAGGCGCCATCACATTGCCACAGGAATATTTCGCATGTGTGTGCTTCCCGACCGGTTCCGGAGGGGAGACCATCGGCGCCTGGGCGTGGCATCCGCTAGAAGCCTCAGTACCAGGATCCGGGATGCCTGCGATGACTAATATTCAGCACGGAGGCTACGCTTGCTTCTAGTGCTTTTCCACCTCCGAGGACTAGCTGCGCGTGATTAATCCCTGTTGGATCATTGCGTATTGCCTGCCTGCGAGTCGATTCCGAAGGAATCTCGGTGATCGCCACCTAGCCGCGGGCGGTGGAGCAGTCCTGACGGTGTTGTACCTGCGCCCTCAATGACGTGCCGTTGGGCGTCACCGTATTTTGCGCGGTAGGGTGCGGTGACATGGCAGACTGGTGTGCAGATATATAAACTATGTTAGTCACCCAGTTACCAAGACGCACACCTTTGTCATGCGCCTACAAACAGGAAAACATGTAGACCAATTTGGCCGACGTCGCGCTCACTGCCCTGGCTTAACATTCAGTCGGCGCCGCCCTGACTCGGGCAGAACGACAGACATTTACGCTTGTGAAATGCAGAGCTCCGGGATTTGTATAGGACTATAATAATAGGACCTACAGACGGGTTAGCGCGGCCACACGCCCCGTGCATTATCGATCTGGTTACCTAAGGATACCTAGCAACTCCGACGTGCCACGCCACAGGCGACTCCAAGGTCGCTCGGAGTCAGCTGCAAGCAATGACAAGCCTCGGGCGTCGCAGCTCCAACGGATGCCGGGCTGGAGGGGGCTCGATAATCAGTGGGAGTGACACCGACAAGCATCAAGCAAGCTAGCCGCCGCCCGAGACCTGGAGTAGCTGTATTAGGGTGATGGCGAGCTACGGGTCAAAGTGGGCGACGGGATTGCCCTGATTACGGGCTGATATTTTTCTAGGGTCGTGTTGGCCGTGTCCGAGTGCTGCTTTCAATGGGCTCCTGCCGGAAAGTTCCATGTATTGCCGTGGGATTCTCAGAGCTGCGCGGCCTCGACTGAGCCACGCCTGTCCCTCGCGCGCAACGCCGGTGCTCGCTGGCAGCGGCTGGAAAGCAACTACGCTCTACGGATGCCAGCCCGTGTCGTGTCCGCAGCGGGATGGGGCGTCGGTGGGGTCCCATGTTTCACGGCGCTGCCCTCGCTTCGCTGCAGATGTCCAGTTGGAATGATATCGGGACGCGCGGCGGAGCTTCTCTCTCCCGGCACTTGCCAGATCTAACTTTATCCGTGTATCTCAGCGCATACGCGACGCGTGCAAATGGCTCGGAAAAAAAGGAGCGGTGCTGGACGACAATGGAGGGAGGGAACGTGTGTCCTTGAGTCGGAATGACTAGGAAAATTGAATCGAGGACAATAGCCCTACGGAGCCAGATCTGGCGATCGAATTAGCCCATCACTGGCAGCCCGGAATCCGGCCTGGATGCCATATCCGGCGAGCAGCTCCGACAGATCTTTGTTGTGCAGACACAAGAGCTTCCATAAAAGGAAGAGGTCGCGGAGGGCTGGGACGGAGAGAAAGGGGACGCGCCCATCAGAAATTGGTCCCTTGGAATCTTCGAAGCGCGTGGAAGCAATGGAAGGCTGGTCGATTGTGGCGTTGGCACCGCTCAAACCACGTGAAGCTTCTTTAAATCGCGCGTTCTGTTTGGGCGTTGTACTTTTACGGAATCGCTCTTCTTGCACCCCAACCAGCACTCGCCCACGCCTGCCCCCGCCCATAAAAGGCCCCCGCACGCGTCCGCCATCCCGGAATGCCCCTCGCTGCCGCCACCATGTACCCCTACAAGCGTCGACGCACAGCGACCACCGTCCTCGCCGGCGACTTCGACCCCCAGCCCCCGCGCGACGTCCTCACCAGCCTCCTCAACGGCGTCCCGCCCAACAAGGCCGTCGAGAAGGAGGAGCTCGCGCGCCGCGACAGGCGCAAGGAGAAGCGCGAACGCGAGCGCGAGCGCAGGCGCGTCAAGGCCGTGGAGAAGGAGAGGGCGAAGCAGAGGGACGCGCCGCAGCAGGCGGGCCCGTCGCACGCGTCGGCCACACCCGCGCCCAGGGCGCAGCCGCCCCTCCCCGTGCCCACCACCGCCACCTCGTCCTTCTGGCGCGCGCGCCCCGCCATCCACATCCCCTCCGCCGGGCAGCGCCCGTCCTCGGTCACGCCCCCGCCGTCGCCGCGATCCACGCCCGATAGATACGTGCCCTCCTCGCGCAACTCGTCCAAGCGGCCGCGCACGCCGTCCGAGTCGCGCGACCTCCAGCACCCCGACATCGCCAGTTCCACCACCATGTCCCCTCAGCCCCACCAGCCCCGCCGCAAACGCTCCGCCGTGCGCAAGGGCTGGAAGGGCTGGGTTGAGGGCTCGCCCCCGCCATCCGATAAGCTTATCAACCTCGACAAGGCTCAGGTATTGCCGGAGCGGAGGACCAGGAGTGGCAAAAACTTTGACGCGATTGGTGTGGGCAAGGATGGGTGGGTGTAAACCAGGTATGTGCAGCATTTTATCAAGCGGCTATATCCCGCCGACACCCCACCGCAGACATCTCAAGACTCGAATATGTCCTTTGGATACCTCTTAACACTGTTATGCTAAAGAAGTATTGCTCTCTATTGCGCGACGCCGCCAAGAATAGTTCTCGAAATATTTGCACATTGCGTTTTCAATGGGTCCATCTTGCATAGATGATATTTGTACGGTAGTAGTTACTCTAGGCCGAATCCATGTGGTATTTTGTGATATGCACCAGAACAAAGCAAAAATAACCGCAGTCTCCATTCCGACGCACAAGACTCGGCCTTCCATCTCATACCGCGAAGCAATGAGCATGCTGAGCGGGATGGTCTTCTGCAACACCGGTATCCATCCCAGCATCCGGGTCTGCCGCGAGTGGCCGGCACAAGAAGCGCCACCACTGATTGACACCTAGAATGCGGAATACCCCGCCCCAGAGCCTCCCTCAGTACCTCCGACATGCAGCCCTCGGGAAGAGCGCAGCTCCCACGCTCGCGCCTCCGGCAATAGTCCCGAGTCAAAGAACCACGCCACCGAGCCACACGGCTAGGGCCTATCCTACCGTCTCCCAACAAGCCTCGCCCGCGTCTTCGCCATCCGCTTCGCGATCTTCTCCTCCCTTGCCTTCTTCTTCTCCTGCGTCACGCTCACGCCCGCGCCCTCCCTGCGCTCCACCAAATACCGCTCAATGCACTCCTCCATCTTGCGCTGCACCATCGCCGGCGCGTCCTCGCCCGAGCGCGCGTCCACCGTCCACTCAAAGTCGAAGCCCCAGCCCTGGCGCGTCTGGGAGGCCGGGGAGAGCGGCGCGGACGCGGACGCGAGCCCGCCCTCGTCGCGCCACCACTTGACGAACCACACCGCCGCGCGGCTCAGGTCGCGCTCGCCGCCGCGCTTGAGCATCCCGAGTCGCGCGGCGAGCTGGTCTAAGAATTCCAGCACGTCGGCGGTGGCGGTGGCGGTATCGGGCAGAAGCTGCAGATACGCCGGAGCTAAGGGAAGGCAAAACGGGCGGCGGTTCAGTCAGTGGACATACAAGCTGTACGACGCAAGTCTCACAGCGTGGATTGAGGACGTTGAGCCTGTATAATAAATACGCAGCCAGCGCCTCGACGTCGTACAGGCCTTCTTTGATTCCCGCTTCAGTAAGACAAGAAAATCAGTCCGCGTCTGCCGCTTCTGAATTCACACCCACCTATCAAAGCTAACTTCACACCGCGCTCGGCACCCTTGTCACCCCTCCCGAGAAACGGGAGCATCACGCCGGGCGAGTCGTACGCATACACCAGCGGATCAATCGACAGTTTCAGCCGCGTCGAGATCGCCCTCGTCAAGCCGGGCTGCGACGACGTCCGCAACGCCTTCGCCGTCGCTACGATGAGACCGCGTAAGACCAATCAGCTATTCCACAGCAAGGAAATAGGAGACCCACGGCCCGGGATACCGATGTTCCGCAACGCATTGAGCAGCGTCGACTTGCCCACATTGGGCATCCCCACGACGAGCACATTCAGTTCGGGCGCGTGCGGGTGTTCCTTGGCTACGCCTGCAGGGTGGCAGCATCCGTCAGCGTCTGCTCTGCATGCCACTGTACGAGATAAGCGTGGATGACCTACTTACGAGCATCTCGTTGAGGGCCTTGATATCCCGCGGCCGATGCCACGACGCGAAGAAAAGTCTGTGATCAGGGAATTTGGAGAGCATCGCTCGGCGGAAGGGCTGTGCGCGTGTGAGTCCACATACACGAGAAGGCAGGAGTGTCGTTCCCACCTCAAGACCCCATTCGGGCACGAGATCGCGCTTGTTGAAGACGACTATGCGCTCGCAGGGCGTAGCCGCGCCGTACGATGCAGGTGCAGGGAGGCCGCTGGTCGCAGCGATACGGCCTCGCTCTCTTCGCCATTTCTGAATCGCACCTGTAGATGGGGACTATATTAATTACCGAGCGCTAACGGATATATGAATTGCGTAGGAATCAAGAAGAGATTATCTGGGATAAGGCGGTGGAATGAAGAGCAGGAATTGCCGTCAGAACACCCGGCGTCAGATTCTGCGCAGTCCCTGGGTAGCCCGACAAGATTTCCTGACCTGCACCCCGAGCACACAGTGGAGAGTTAGGGCACTGTGAATAATTATCCGGCAGCGGCAGATGTCCCGAGCGTATACAGTGGAACGTGCTCAGTATGCCCAGCTTGCAGCAGTGCCCCCTATACGGGCAAGTGAATGGGCGTTATGGCACCAGACGCTGTTCTGTACTTCTGGACTTCGACGAGCGCTGCGCATGAGCAAGACAGTCTTTAATCTGCCATCGCCGCGATTGCCATCAAGTGTGGGCGCAACGCCCAAGGGGTATAGACGCTCGCGGGTGCTTGCCGTTACGGGACTCCAGGCAGCCGCGCGTGATTAAGACAGGACAGCTGACTGCCGCCCAAGAGTAGCATCAAATGAATGGATATATGCCCTGTGGAAGGCAAGGATTCGCACTAAGCAGGAAAGTTATAGTTGGCGGCTGACAAACCGTGATCAAAGCACGGCGTAGCGGGCGGAGCTGTGCCTTTTCCTTGCGTGGATAATCCATGGATAGGAGCACCAATTGCTCACGTCATGCTTTGTGAGCTGCCACACGCTTCCCTGAATGCTTGGTGTTACAAGACCAGAGAGACAGTGCAAGGAAGCCTGCTAGCACATGTGATAAGGCCTAAGTGGATGAACGAGGGTGAATAATCGGGCGATGGGCGACGACGCATCGTTGCCTCATACAGCGCTGTGAATGATGGATGCACTGCAGGGGATTTTCTCCCTTTGCATGCCCTGCATGCCTTGCCCGACGATCGCAAGCCTCGGCGCCGAAGGCTGACAGCGGACTACGCCACCGAGCACCCACTAGTCTACATGTCTCAGCGACTCCACGCAGTCGCTCAAAACGAGGCCGCTAAGGAAATGTACACGTTTCCATGCCCGCATCGGTCCTTCGGACCAATTCATCCGCTAGCGGCGGAAGAACAAAGACCAGGAATATACAAACACACCACGGGGACGACCAACTCACCTTCTAGTGTCTCGTTGATGCTCGTGAGCGGCAAGCGGGAGTCGCGCAGCTCCAGCACGACGTCTGTCCGGCGCAGCAGCGCTGGGAGCATGCGCGCGAACTTGTCCATATGGCCAGGATACCATGAGGGCGGTGCTGGCAGTGTTGGGAAGGGAATGTGGGACAACATGACCGCGTATCTTGCTTACGCAGAGTATAAGGAAGGAATAAGGATATTTGAAAGGCAGTATATTCGGTGCCTGCGGTTAACTCGGACCAATGTAACTAGTATCCGCTTTCAGCTTGACAAGCCGTGCAGGCACCCGAATTCTGAGCCTTGCCCCTTGCCACAAGTTCAGAGACAAAGTCCTAAAGCACGGGACGACGAAATTCAAACAGAAATTTCAGAAAAGAAAAGACAAAGCGTGAGCCAGCGAGAGTCGAAAGCAGCACAAGGAAAGATTTGCGCAAGTCAAATTGGCGCCCACAGTGCAATAAGAACCCGGGAGACTGGCGCGGGAGGAAAGTCTAAAATCATTTTCGGCTATTTCCTTACGTAACACGATCATTCCTAATACGAAACGCGGCCTTCTCACCCAGATGAGATCGCGGAGTGCCATCTCCGCGTTCGCCTACGGCTTCAGCTGCATTATTATAGTCGTGTCAGTGCATTGCTTGATGCTCTGCAGAGGGCAAGGGTAGGAGTCTGGATGATATTGCTTGATGTACAATGCAGATAGGGAATAGAAGAAATCACACGGAACGATGGGTACACGCGCGTCCGACATTGCGCGTCGACCACGCTTCGCGGTGATCCCATCGAAACAGTAAGCCGGACCGGCAGGGGCGTGGAGGCCTGTCGGTGAGCACGGCTGGAAATAAACAAAGTCTGGGAGAGAAAACAGACTTCCGTGGCCGGCGTGAGCGGCGACAGCATCCTTCGACTGGAGCGGTTGCTTACCTGCAAATTCGTCGCGTCAAAGAGTCGTTGAAGATGCTGCAAACAAAGCCATAGAAGTAACTGCCAGAGTCAGCTTCCTTTTTCTTTCGAGAGCATTACAGCCCCTCCTCAAAGCGGCAGGGTGGAAGATCGAGTGCGAAGTAGTGGACCCGCGCTTACCGTCCGCGGTTGACAGGTGTAACGGGAACCCAGCGGTAATGTGCTGACAATCCGCTGTTAGTTGCAGTTAGCTAGCATGTATTTCGCATTTACAAGAGCCGGGGGGTGACTCCCGCAGTGCGTGGGCCCATGTTGTGAGTGATCTTGATATTTGCCGCGAATAGAGGCACAGTACAACATTCTGATGCGGTATTCTATGTTTGATCACTGTGCCCGCCTGGCGAGCTGGGCATACTGGACGGTGCCTTGCCACCAGAATACCATGCCCAGGCCTACAATGCCATGCAGAGTCCCCCAGACGTTTTCGGGGGTCGCGTTGTATCTACGATTCAATGAGCATATGGAACTGCACAAATATAGACTCCGTAATATCAATACTCACGATTCAGCAAGAGGACCGAAAGACCGAGGAATAAAACGAGGGGCCTGGTAAAGCACGGTGGAAATCAGCGAATGATAGACACAGAGGCCGATCGCCAGAGCTCTTTTTCCGGGAAGGAACTCTATAAGGTCATACGCCATCAGGCAGAGCTCGCGGCAGACAGTTGACATTCTACACGCACCCGGTAAACTGAAGACTAGGAAGGCCGCGATGCACGTCCCCAGCGAAAGGGCCGCGTACAGCTATCGGGTATAACCGTTATAAAATTGTTAGATTGGTGAGTAGTAAACGGCTTACCTTCACCATCACTAAAGTGGTGTTATTTAACTGGATAAACGGCAGCGCTTGCGGCGCCCATAATCCCTGTATAACAAACGGTATCTCCAAAGCAATATGGAGCATGAAGATCAGCGACCTTCCGCGCGTTCCGTCAGACTTCACTTTGCAAACAATTCTCCTCAAATGACATGGTAGCTTACAGAGGGCTCCTGGCCGCCACGGCCTGAGGTTGCGACATGGTGGTTGAAAAACAGGCACAAGATAGGACTCGAATGATGACACGTCCGAAGGAGAACGTGGAAGGTACAGGATTACGTAAGAGTATTTGGATCTCGGTGGCAATACGATAGAGGGCGGATCAAGATTCGCATTCTCTCACAATGCCGCCGCACCCGACTTCGACGTCTGTCCGGGCAACGTCGTAGATGTCGACGAACACGAGGGCAAAGACTTCGACGGGGAGTACTGAGGTAGAGGGGGATGCTATCAGTGCAAGCCACTCTCGGACCCCGGTTGCTTCGGCCGCTTTGTCTGGCATCGACGTGGAAGACAGTCTCATTCATCAGGGTAATCATACATACACTAGTAATGCAGGGGTCTACGTTGTCCAAGCCAAGCTAAAGAAGAATAAATAAGAATAAACAAAGTCGTGGAACGCAACTACACACTCCTCGAGTCCCGCCCTAACTCAAAACCAGTGAACCGCCGCTGACGAAGCTTGGGGACATCTCCGACAACCGGTTCCATCGAGGACCTGAACTGAATTCAACAACGGCCGGGACAAAGTACAATCCTCGTTGATGATGACCGTGGAGCAAAGTTGGCTGCCGTCGCACGACATCATCGACTGCTCGGAGGAAAGAACCCGCCGATGAGATGGTAAACCGCCGCGAGAACAGACGGCAAATAGCAGAGGCCGATAGATGTACGATCTTCCTTCCGCAAATACTCCACGCGAAGAGACCAACGTAATAAACACTCTGGATACGCGAGGTGCGAAGGGCTGACACGTCGGAAACTGGAAGTGACCGTGGCATGATCCTGATGGAGCCCGGGCGCATGGAAGACGTAGGCGAAGACGAAGGCATTCGAATAGCCGATAGTCGAATTGTCAACGAGGATTTGTAATGGCTATCCGGGTGGTTGATAACGATGGACTCCAACGTAAGAGTGTTTGACTTTGAGTGGTCAAGCCAAAAGATAACTCCACGAGCGAACATTCCCTCTCCACGTCCCGCATACCGCAAGCAGCATCTGTCGATAGGCAGCGGCTGCCCTGACGCCATGACACCTGAAGGCACCTCCGGAACGACAGAACAAGAACCAGCCGCCTGCTTACCACAACACCGGAGGATTGGAGACAGCGTCCTCTCGCCTCCAGGAAAACACAAACCCTTCAAGCAAGACGACAGGCTTCTTAAGGCATGAGGGGCGGTGGCGAAGTTCAAGCGGATCGGTCGCCGGTCTAGAGAGGGGATAGAGAATTTTAGGATAACAAGGTGAGATGCCTATCAATACGAAGGCTAGGGTAAGCCACGCGAGAAGGTTCATAGAATATACTTGCTCACCTATGCTGTCCTGGACTTGATGGTCCATAAATAGGGGCGCCGGCGCTATCCGCTACTTCCTCCGCTATAGCGAGCGCCAGAGGACGTCGAACTGACGCCCTCCAGCACTCGCGGAGATTTACATGAGTATGCATGCATGCAGTTCATGGAAGAGAGTACATACCGTCACACGATACCCGAAGAAGCAGTCCCACCCCAAGGAGTCGCCAGTTAGGATAGCACATCTAGTACGAAATAAGCATAACACCCAAAGAGGATTTGAGTGTGGCACGTACCTCACCGTCGGCACAGAGCCGCTAATATTCGACCTTGAAGCACCCTCAAGCCGGCCGGAATCCTGCGTTGAACGCGCCATTGCCCCTCAAATCCGACGCATCGTCGGAGCCCAGCCCATCGCCTCACCTTCAGAGCCTGCCCTATCCAAGAAGTCAGGATCAACTGCCATACCAATGACCCTACGACGGTATTGCTTCCAGCATGCACGTGCGGTTCCCGAAGCTGTCAGTTACCGGATTTCTGCAGGTTGGATAAAATGTTGCATTCGCGAGAATGAGGAGTGAGGGGTCGTTGGGAGTGGAGGGGTACATTGGAGTCCAATCCATGATGAGGGTCCCAATGTCTTCGTCGATAGAGTTATGTCGTCGCTTTCATGAGATAAGGGGTCCTAATCATGAGAGTTGCCCAAGAGTGTCGACGTCATTGTCGTGTTTGCCGTGTATCGCTGGGATAGCCCATTGGGATGATCCTGACCTTTTCGAGATGCAAGAAAGGTATCTGTTGGACAGTTTAGCACATGGAACAACAAACCTAACAGCCACTTACAAAGCATGAGAACTCGAGGACCAGACACAGTGTAGGGAGTCCACCGAAAAGAAGAAAGTACAGATGCACATGATCAAAGAAACTGGCCCACAAATCTAAAGATAAGCTAACAGATCCAGAATAGATACACAGGAAACAAGACTGAAACCCGTTGGGAGTCTCCGTCTTGACCAGCCATGTCTAAGAAGCGCGCGGCGTCCCTCATGAATAATCCAAGCCATATAAACCGTGAGCGTTGTCGCATTATAACCTGATTCAGTCGCCGCTAGTAACGTCTGGAGCCTCGTTCCCAATGGCGCGCCCGGAACGCGGGGCATTCGGAGTGGTATTAGAAGCATCGCCATGGGGACCGAAATGGTAGCCAACAGGAAGAACTGCGTGAATGAGGTTGCCTGCCTCAACTGGGACCAGGGACGGAGCGATGCCGGCAGCTAGTCCCCGATCGAACTGAAGGCCATGTTGCTCCCGTTCCTCGGCACGAGCACAACCACCGGCAGGGGGGTCAGCGTTGTTGTTGTCTTCGAAGTCCGAATCCGAGTCCGAATCCGAGCCAGTGCCGAAGATTTGTTCCGAAAGGGTGCGCTGAAGGGTGCGCTTGCGCGCCTTGGGCGTCGTGGGGACCGAGTCCCCGGAGTCGCTGGCGGGCAAGACATCATTGGCATCGTCGTTACCGGCGTCAGCAGCGCTACCATCCTGTAGGACATCGGGCACAGAGTCGTTGATAGGGGTCACCTGATGCTGCTGAGAATCGTCTCGAAAGGATTCCGCGACGTGCTGGCTATCTTCGACGCCGGAAGAGAGCGGGTAGACCACCGGCGCAGGAACCGCTTCTGTCGCCACAGATTCATGGTGGTCCCCATAGGCAGACATTGGCACGCGTCCATGCATCAGACAAACAGCAGAAATCCCAGAGGCCACAAGGTAGGAGATCATATTGTCGTGAAACGCCTTCAGCGCTGAACCTTGGCCACGAAATGACCTGAGTCCCGCACGCCGCTCATGAGTCGCCTTGCTGTTGTAGTTGCCGTTCTTCGTCCTGACACGAGGATCTACGGTCGTCGTCCCGTCATAGACGTCGCACGTGTTGATACCTAACATCCGATCGCGAACGGTTCTGAGGTCTCCGACCGAGGCCAGATTGCGCAATTCCTCCGGTAGTGACTTCCAGATGAGAGTCAGCGCTGACATTCTGGCCTTGCCGCCTCGCTTCATGATACGCGATCCATGTACAGCAGCAGCATTAGTAGTGACCTTGGGCTTCCTAGCGTATGGCGTCATCCGGTTAGTCACCCGATCGTTCTTGAGGATCGACTTCAGTGGCTTGGACTGGCACAGAGACATAGGGATACCAGGTTCAACAACAGGCGGGACCTCCGGAGAAGCGTCGACTGCGGTGTCAACAGACGAAGGGGAAGCCTCAGCAGCAGTTGACGGCACAGTTGCGGCGTCCTCCGAAGAGTCTGCCGTAGCTATACCCATTCTGGAATCTTCTTCCGGGACGACAAGAATAACATTCAAGGACTTGGAGCTGCTGACGTCCAAGCACGGGTTGTCGACAGTCTGCTTAGGAGGAGCGAAGGCGTGCATTGGCACTGTTGCATCCAGCTCGACTGGGAAACTAAACTGGAAGACCTTGGCGACGATCTGGGGATAACCGGTGAGCATCCGCGCAAACACACCCAACATCCGCCACACCGACCTGTTTGCCTTCATGCTCGTCCCTTGCGGCGTGGTCCAACAGAAAGAGGCCATCAATATCCATGAGCGACATCCGGTGTTCAGAACGGGAAACCCTGCAGCGCTTGACGAGATCCGGACGACCGTCGTCGATGCCGTACCGGTAAGCCTTCGCGTCATAGCCATCACGCCGACGTTTCCCTTTGCTGGGTATGGCGCGGCCAGAGCCGTCGTAGTCCTCCAGATGTTCTCCAAGACAGATGCGACGGACGTGGGGAACAGCAGCGACTTGAGAATCCAGGATGGAGTTGCGGTATTGCCAGTCCCTCCAGCGCGCGTTGAGCAGCGACTGGGTAATGATTTTCCGGATAGAAGCGCGGAAACGGTACTTGAAGTCAGTTCGAGACTCTCCCTGCCGGCGCTTGATCTGCCTGCGACGAGGAGGAACGACAGGCAGGACAGTGACAGGAATCCTGTATTTAACAAACCACGGTGTGAAGATAGCAAGGTTCGTCTGATCGGCTAGACCGAGGCCGAGGGGGGTACGCATTGCTAACGAGGCAATGTTCGAAAGAGCGCCAGAAATGTTGGATACTGCGACGAGTAGGTCCAAGTTGAAGTGAAGGAGAGGAGACGTGAAGCCACACGCGGGTAACGCCCACGTGACCGCGCTCCTGTCACATTGTCACTGTGAAGCAGGTGAAGATACCGTGACTTCAAGGTCGGGACGTTTCGAGTCGTCCACTTCGCATATGCTGGCAGTACATTACTTGCTGGAATAGACAAATTTCCCTATGGATCTTTTACAGTCCGAGGGGTCGTAATGAATAGGCACACCCAACACTTACATTGCAGGGAGGCAAGACCGAGTCGACGTTCACCTGTAGCACTGGCAGAGGGTACGCTTACCTTTCCAAGTACAGATACAGCTCGCGGAGCATCCCCGTCCATAGGGGCGAAGGATTAAGGCATTCGAACTGGACACTATCATTGTCGCCAACCTCATACTCTACGCCTCATTTCCTTGGAGCACGTCGCAGGACGTAAGCCATACGGGTTCAAGGCAAGAAGTCGGCGTACCAAATTGGATACGTTTGCATGACATGGTCTCGAAGTCGAGCCCACAGGCAGTCATCATCGAAGCCATGTCCAGGTGGACCCAGCCTACCAGTTAGAACACGAATATATCTTCGAAGGTATGTGCTGCAGCCATGGGAGTTCGAATGAAACGAAGGCCATCAGTCGCGAATATGATACATATCCCTCATTTTCAGGCCAACTTGGGGCCAATGCGGGTTCAGACTTCAGAAGACGCTTGGCCTCCCCAGTCATCAAGTTGAGCACTGGCACGTAGTGACTGGATGACGGTTGACGATAACGTCGATGCGATAGCGGGCCAGAGTTTGAGAAGCGACATGGTACCATTGTGGACTGTCTTGAAAAGTATACGCTGTCGACAGTCGGTCGAAAGCTGGTCGGAAGCACCCTCGACGAGCAATCAATTATGACTTCACGGAATTTGCCGTGGACTTCACAAGGTGAGCTTGCCACATCTTAGACTGTACCTTGGTATGCTTCAGTACTGGATAAAATATATACTGCACAATCCCTCGTGCTCTGTGTGTTTTTCCCTCCATTCATTTTGGAGTAGTCATCCAGGAAGTACTATATAGACGCATCCGGTGCTAAGCAGGACGCCAAGGAAATGCTCCAATTTTGTCGCGAACTGATGCATTGGGTTACACAAGGCGCCTTGGGGTATGTACACAGACTGGTACTGTAGCAGGAAAGTAATTTTACTCTCAGATGCCTTGTTCGAGCTCAAACTTGTTCCTAGGCTATCTCGGAGAGGCAGATTCATAACAAGTGTTTCACCGTTACCCGAAAAGCACTTGTTTTCTCGGCTGCTAATACTCTGTCGAGGTCTTTCATTTTACTTGCATGCAACAACTTAAGAAAGCATGCTTCCCGGTGTGACCTTGGCACTTACTGCGCCTTTCTCCCTTTGTTTCCGATCCGGAATCGCAGCACCTCTCGCACGTCACCGAACTGCCGGACCATACTACTGAGTACCGCTTAAAGATACTCGGTAACTTGTACAACTTTATTGAGTGAATTTCCTTCTCAGCTATCACAGACCGCCCCACGACTGCATGGAAGATGCAGGAACAGTGGTATTGGTCCGACCATATCCACACTGAGCTGGGCAATGGATGCTTAGCGACTGTATGGCCGCTCAAATCCAAGGAGGTGACAGAGTACTCCCCCAACGGGCTCCGCGATTGCCGCGCGGAGCTCTCCAGGGCTTCGAGCGATAATGTTCCGTATTTCGCTCGCCGCGACTCATGTGGTCCTATTCGCCACACGCCTGCCGTCGATCGTGCGGCGCTGAAGAAAGTCATCAGCACCTCCATTCCCGATATGATCCTCGGAATAGCTGAACTCAAGAGTCTTGGTATGTGCATATGTTATGCCTGTAGAAGGTCTTCGTTGATTACTTATCTAGTGGCAGGAAATAGCAGTGGTGACTGGGTAAGAATCTATATAGTTCTATTCCAAGCCTCGTGGTTCAACTTATGTTTGTATGACAGGAAGCCCTCATCTGCTGCAAGAACCCGAGAAAGAAATATTATGTCACCATCAGGCCTCACGTCTCTAGCAACACTGTCTCTATGCTCCTTGATGTCGCCGGCGGATATTCCATGCTTAGCGAGGTAGGAAGACGCGAAATCTTCATGCTCTCAAACAATGACCCCTGTACCCTATGTAGTTCTCGACCCTACGAGAAGTCGCTAAGAATTATCGTATCCCCGTCCCAAGGGCCGTCGAGTACGGCGACGGCATATCCGATGGTGTACACGCGGAATGGATAGTACGAGGAAATGTAAGGAAGATCTCCTTTTCTTAGCAATATAGTCGATGCTCAGTGACTCTAGATTCCAGGATCCCGCCTCAGCGAAGTTTGGAATTATTTGGACGGCGCTCAGCGATCCGCGGTATGCGTGAGCATAGGAAAGCTCAGGGCTGCCCTGTTATCCCGCAAATTTCAGAGGATTGGTCGTATCTGGACTATCAATGAAGAATGCAAGGTCGGCCTTGGATCACTAGAAGTTTCCCAGTCTGGCTTGAACAGGATTGGGCAATACGAAGACGCTAAAGAATGGCTGATTGCGATAGCAATGAGGAAGCTTCCTTGCTATGGTCACTGCGCACGGTTATCTGGCACGCAGCGAGCCCAAGTCGGCGCTGTCATGTCGCGTATCAGGACATGCGAGGCCTTGAGAGACAAACGCTATGCTCCACTCCGCTGCTTCGCCCTGGAGCATGTCGATCTTCACCCCGACAACGTCCTCGTGAAACCGGACCAGCCAGATGCTATTACGGGCGTGCTGTCCTGGGACTGTGCTCGAGTCGTCCCCGTGTTTGCTATGGACTTCGATTTCTTTGATCGTCCAGATTTTGGACCCGCCGAGAGGCTCAATGACTTCATTCTGGCTGCGACCGCTCTGCGGGTGCCTGATCTGGGTCTTCTTCTAGGCTCAAAGCCACATAGGCAGCTGCACCACCTGTACCACCTGGCTCTGCACAGTCACGATTGGCATGACTTGCGTATGCCCCTCGAGGGGTGAAGATGTACGTTTTGTATTTATACTCATATTACCGTTATCCCACTGAGGCTGCGCTGCTCTGGCTCAATACTTGGACGCGCCTAACCCGTAGTCGCTTCCGGAGGATTTAAATTGTATCAATAAGAGTAGTTACTCGGCTTTTTTCGTGGAGGTCGAAGCTCCCCAAATCCTGCTCCTGGGCATGCTTCACACATCAGCCAATTAGCTATTGAACGTGATTATCTGTGGTATCGCGTACTCGTACATGCCACACTGAATCCCCTTCAAAGTTTGTCGGTTTGTAGCCCGATTGATAACTGAGTTGTTAAATCTTGCTCAATATCATAGAGCAGTAGCCTAGTTATATCAGATATATGTTGAACGATTCAACGTCAAATGCAGCACTTAGCAACTACTGTTATTGGCACTGTGGCAGGACACAGGCGGCAATTTCCGAAGGTCCGGTCTGGTTCCTCCGAACTTCAAGTTACTTCACCGGTACCTCGAGATTATACATGCTCTTTTTTGCGATCGATGATTGATGAAACACACCAGGAAGTATGAGTCCAAGATCTTATGTTGTCGTACTCAAGCTGTTAGTCTGTGTAGTTAGGTGGGGTTCTACAGTGATGAAGCTTGGGCTCCGAGTCCGGGCTCATTCATCGTGCGTCCTTTGTCCTTCCTCGCGCCTTTTGGTCATGATTTTCCAATTTGTTAGTGACCCTGAGCAAGCTGTCATTGTTCCGCGTCATTCTGCCATCTCAGCGAGGACATCCGTGCGTTTCCGAAGGGCGTGATCATCGAGTGCCCTTCCCCGCTACAAGGACCGCAGTTCTACCTGGTCGCGGAAGGAATGGGCAGGCAATCATTGCTTACTGCTTGATGTCGCTGGCTGAATCATGAAATAAGTTCTTTCGTCCCATAGACAGTCGAGCACTGCGATGTCAGAAGGCTGCTGCTCTCTCAAGTCTAAAAGCATACGGCTCCTACGTGCATTCCTTTCTTATTCCTTTGTTGTTCTGGTGGCTCATCTGCATAACGTGACTTCATGAATCTGTTGAAATGCAGGCCGTGAGACTCAGCGCCCTAGGCGACGCGCAGTGTGGCACGTCTTGTGGTGACTTCGACCATCAACTAGGCGAGCTACTACATATCATCGAAAATCGGCCTGTGTAAATACCTCAGGCTGTCTGCACATCGTCTCGCCATGCTGAACGAGCAAGCTATCATTGCTTCCATCTCCGAGCATTTCAAGGTACCGCCTGGTACCATAGGTCCTTTCGAATTTAACGGTAAGGACATTTCATCGACTTCGCATCGCGGCTTTGATCAAGGTCCCATTTTACCCAGACGAGGTATGCGAGAAGGTAAAGCCTCCCGACGCTTATCAGATACTAGACTCACTGGGTGCTCTTAGAAGGCAATGTTTCTCGTGGACAGTCGTCCCTACATGCTCACAGTGCGACCGTGCGCATTGCACATTGATGAGAAGTTAACCAGGAGCGAGAAAGAAAGGTTGAAGAACCAGGTCGGTGCTCCCTTGGACATGAGAGTGCATCAAAATATCTAACCCTCTGGTCTCCAGTATGAACTCCTAAAGTATATCGACGAGTGCTTCCGCATACCAGTTCCGGAGGCTATTATGTACCGCCACGACGCAGCGGTGGGTGCCGAGTGGATGGTCCGGTCTCACGTGAGCATCTTTCAACGCCTCTACCTCTACCTCTGACAGCGCCGCCGATTCCCACCCAGATTCCCGGCCGTCCCCTCCCCGAGGTCTGGGTAAACATGACGAGCGAAGAAAAGCGAAAAGTATGCATCCGCATCGGCGAGATCTGGGCAACCCTGCTTTCAAAGAGATGGCGCAATGACGGGATCAGATGGGCCTGCGATTACGACAGTAGCAAAGGCGGCCTCCTTCCCCTCGAAAGCCTTCCCGAGCGCGGAACCGGTCGATGGAGCAGCATTGGGGACATGGACTTTCTCGTGCAGACAGCGACTGTTCGCCGCAAGATCGATGGCGTGTGGACGCCCGTCGCACCCCACGAGCGCGCCGATGTGGGTGCCGTCGTCTCCCGGATCCGGACCGCGCCCATCCTGGCCAGCGACCATCTGAGGGCGATACGCAACTTTGCCATTGAGCACCCCGAGTTTCGTCCAGACGTCATCCTGGTTGACTCGTCAGATTACTCAAAGGTTACCGGCGTAGTCGGATGGGAGTACCACTACATGGTCCCGGTATACGCGCTGAGATTTTGGTTCTTCAAAGACCGCAATCGCTTTGGAGGTTACGCTGTGGATGTCTTGAACGTACTCATCATGAGAGTTGTCTATGAGAACCTCCCCGAACTCCGGCTTCTGACGAGCACGGACGCTGTACCACTGTTTCACCTGTATAACTTGGCCTTGCGGAGTCGTAATTGGAGGAAGCTCGGCCTGAATATCAACAGTGGCTCTTACATAGTGAATAAGCAAAAGTAGACGACAACCCATGTATGTATACGTATGGCCGGATAAAATGTACAATGTGTAACCTTCGCTGTCAGGCGTCTCCTCGGACCCCGCGGATAACTGGCCATTTGCCAGGGACTGGAAATTCAGGATAATATCTAGTGGTCATCGTGAACAATCCATTCAATAATCTAACAGCAGTTCTACCTATTCTAAATCTACAGTACGCACCCTGACATGACCAATCGTATCCATCGTGAACGAAAATCTATAGTTATTGCCACCCGATAACCCATGGATTGAAACCCACCCGACGCTCTGCTTTGAGAACAACAGCCCCCCACACTCATAATGACCTCTAACCGTTGTGCAAGCTCAATCCACCCTCCGCTGCGCCTTGGGCACGACCGCCCAGAGCCCGATCATGGTCGCCATCATTGCCACCATACTGTTCACCCACCAATCAGCCCCGGCCTCCACACGCAAGCAAGAAAACGTCCACTCACAAAGGCTGCAGTGACCCGATTCCATACTTCGCCGACAGCACGCCCGTAATGAAAGGCAACACCGCCGAGCCAGCCTGACCGAAGCCCGCGATCCAGCCAACGCACCCGGTGAGCAGCCACCGCGGGAGGATCTTGGTCGCGTGGTCGACGAGTATCGGGTACATGGGTCCGAGCAGGAGGCCAATGAAGGACACCGCGACGGCGTTTTCGTAGAGGTTCGGGACGAGCCAGATGGTCACTTCGAGCCTGCGCAGAGCATTAGTGGAGAGCAGAGGAGGGCGAGAGACGCGTGCGTACCCGATGGCGAGGGCCGCGTAGATAAATATGATGCGCCGTTCGCCGACCTAGAAATATTGAGTACGTGCGGGTGAGGCCCTCTGGAACATTCCTACCTTGCGATTAATCCAAATGAGCGCGATGCGTCCAACGGTGAGGCCTGGAAAAGACCGTCAATACTGCATCCCCCTACTCTATTAGTATAGTATTGTAACGCACCTCCGAAGAACCCAGACGAGATATACCCTGAACTCGGCCCGCCATGTCTCTTCTGGATGATATACGTCACGATCCATCCTAGAGCCACCACACATTCAGTCACGATTATCGTGGAGACTAGGTGAGAATCACGCAAACCTCCGAGGGTGACCTCCACGCCGACATAGATGAGCGAAAAGATCGCCATAAAGTGCAAAGCCTTCAGACCCAGGATCTCGCGGTACAGGTTGCTCTGCGCCGACCCGCCGACTTCACCGGGACCATGGCCCGCTTCTGCCATCACCTCTGCATCGTGATAGTATCCAGTCAGCTCGAACTTCAACTACCTACTGTAGCAAGGATCAACAGACCATCTTGCGTCTTCAGCCGGAAGACACTCGTGAGCACGATGGTGTTGGTGAGCGCGATGCCGATCGAGATCAGGAAGTGGAAGGACCAGTGTCTTGTTTGCGAAAAATGGGTAGCAACAAGTGGAGCCGCGAACGCACCCACTCCTACACCACGCCGCGTCGTTACCAATCTGTACCTCATACCGGCTAGAGACACCACGCACCGTATGATCCGTGGAGGATGCACAACTTCGCCGCGACGTGGTCCTTGAGGCTACCGACAAATCCGTTCGCTTGCGCGTTCTACATGACACTTCAAACACTCAGTCCTGGGTTGGCTGGTGCGAGACCTCTACGTACCTGCAGGGAAATGCCGAAGCCTGCAATGGCGTAGGCGCAAACGAGGACGGGGAAGGGCGGCGCGGGGGCCTGAATGGCGTAGGTTACGATTTGGCAGACAGAGCCTTCGATGAATGGGTGAAGAGCAGCACCACGGGGGGGAAGGAGAGGGCGTACCCAAGACTACAACCTGGCCGTTTCATTTAGTCATGATTGAACAGTTCAGCTGAGACGGACATACCTTGCCAAATCCTAACTTGTCATTCAAGATGACGTTCGCGAAAGCCCCGCTGAGGTAGCCCTGCCGCCAGACTTCAGACGCGTCGAAAGCTTTGTTCTGATCAACATAAACACTTACGATACAGTTCGTGACGAATATCAAGGACACAACAGCGAATCCAACCTGCAAGGAGTTCAGTCCGATCACCGGGAAAAACTTCAAAAACTTCGGAGAAACGTACATGATAGTGCTCCTGGATCGCAGGGATCAGAGGACCAGTCGTGCCGTCATTCCACCCTTGCAGGAAGAAACACCAGCACAGGGCGGCAAAGTGGATCCACCCATTCCGCACATACTTGCGCGAGTACTCTACTTCCCCTGCGCTCCGTACGGACGGCGTGAGCACCGAAGGTACGGGTGTGAGGTCGTACATAGGGATGTCGGTGCCCAGGTCGGCATCCTTCGCCTTCGCGGGTGCTTCGTCGATGGTCTGCACCCTTGCGACGTCCGAGCGGCGCCGGGCGCGCTCAGCTGCGTAGGGTACGCCGAGACCAGACGCATCTGTTTTGTCGGGGAGGTCGTTCGTCACGGCGGTGGGGCGGATGCTAAGGCGGGACGATCGCCTGCGCTCTGAGACCAGGCCGGGAAGATCGATGGAGACGCCGTCCACGGAGCCGGTGTCGAGCGCAGAGTCGTCTGGCCCGCCATGCTCGCGGCCCCGGTGCTCGGAGCGCAGGACGCGGACGATGTCCGAGCGCGGGTCTTGCTCTGTAGCAGTCGAGAACGAGGACAGCCTGAACGAGGAAGACATGGTGCGGGTTCACGGGCACTGGCTTCCGCAGGCCCCTTTTATGTATGGTAAGTTTGAGTTGAGAAGTTGAACTTCATTTCATTTGATATCGACGTCGACGTAAACAGTAGATCATCGCGGGTGGGGCAGCCCCAAACTGTACGTCCGGCGAATGGGCGGCGTCGATTGAGTTGCTGCGAATGGCAGAAAAAACATAACTTCCTTGTTCCAGACCGGTGTTATCGAGGTACGGAACGTCGGAGCTTCGGCCCGCAAATCAGCTGCACTCTCTGCGACGTAAATCTTGGTCAATCGTTAGTGATCGAAGCTGTCCGACGCCCATCTAAAACTTACTCTGCGTGCGTCCTGAAGAATCCAGGAAGTCGAGATGACAATACTGAATGCCGCATTGCGGTCAGTATAGGCACGTCGGTGAGTACCGAAGGCACTTATATGGCCTGGTACGACACTTGTAGCGAATGCCTTAGGAAATACTTGGGGAATACACGTACAGATGAGAGCTCAAGACATTCACAGATGAGTGTCCTAGCCACTCAAGTCAGTGGCCAAGACACTCGCAGGCGAGTGCTCAATGCACTCACAGACAGTGCCTCAGGTAATAAGTGGCCGAAGCACTACTCAGCCAGTGTTAATGCCTTCAGCACCGTAACCGTAACGCTATGGTGTATCTTGTTTATATGGTCATGGCGGGCCTCTGATTGAGACAGTACGAGGAGAATACATTCAGTCTGACTGCCTTAGCCACCCGTTCTGAAGGCAAGTGCCATCTGAATCGTCCATCCTATCGAGTGTACTGGTATAAGACACTTGCCGGTAGCGACCAGTACCCTGCCTTGACCCTGCCTCTCCTTCGTGCAGTGGCCCGCAGGGAACATCCTGGCCTGAGTCTGTGACTTTTGAGCCCGTTTGTTGGTCTTAGCATCATGCGAAACCGTGGCTCGAGGGTTACGAAGAGGTCATTCCGCGAGAGGGTCTCATCGGGAACGGGCGCTTGTCTCACCGCCGTTCCTTGCTTTGACCATCACTGACCACAGCTCTATTCTCTGCTTAGATTTCCTTTGTATGCTACAGTCTCGGACATCGCTATAAGACACTCACATGGAATAGTAAAGGGCCGCTTTCCTGCATCGTACTGCCTGTCTGCTGTGAACTTGCTATCGACTACCTTTCCATACCCCATCACTACCTGCCAGCGTCTGATTCCTGACTCTGTCAAGTATGCATGCCCCATTCCGCCCAGTCGCACCCCGATTCAACAACTATCACGGGCCCAAAGCGCGCGTGCTCGGCAACCCCGCAAACCACGTCCCTCCAGCATGGCGAGCTAACGGCCAGCGCGTCCCGTCAGGACCGAAGGTGGCGCCCCCGGCAGGGAGCAAGATCCTCATCAGCAACCTGCCCCCGGACGTGAGCGAGAGGGAGGTGGAGGTTTGGGTGCACTGGTATGTCTGACTGTGCGCTGGGCTGAATGTCTGTTTGTGTAGGAGCTGTTCCAGAAGACCGTGGGCCCGCTGCGGGAGGTGCTGCTCGTCTACAACTCGCAGGGCCGCTCGAAGGGTATGGCGGTCGTAGCATTCCAGCGCGCGGGCGATGCCGCTGTGGCAAGGGAGAAGTACAATGATAAAGTCGTGGATGGCAGTGAGTAGCTGTGCCCCGTCCGGAGATTGTGTGGCCTGATTCCGTCTCATGATTATCTGACAACGATATCAAGGACGTCCTATTAAGATCGAGATCGTCACGGATGAGGTGCCATCAGCTCAAACTCCATCCGCCGCTGCCCCGCAGCTCCCTTCACTCCTCCAGCGCCTGGGTGTCAAAGTCCCGACCGGCACTGGCAAATCATCAGCTCCGGTACCTACTGCACCGTCAGTCCCATTCATTACCTTTCCCTGTGCCTTTGGCTAATGACCCTTCATAGACGACCACGAGCCGTAGCGGCTACCGTGAACAATGCAACCCGTGCAGTGATGGCTCAACCCCGGCGTCGGGTGAAGAAGGGTGCCAGACGCGTAAATAAGCGGCCAGCACCCAAGACTGCAGCGGATCTCGACAAGGAGATGGACGCCTACCGCGCTGGCTCGTCGGAGGCAGCATGACATGACGCTGACCAAGTCTTTTCTGGATTTACTTCTCGCATCGGACCCGGTTGATAGTTGCTGCCTGGATCTCTGGGATATACTGTATCTATATAGGCTATCAGACAGAATATCTATCAATTTTCTCTAGTGCAGCCCGCTGCAGCCAATATTCGCTCGAGCTATTTCGAACGTGCATGCGGGGGGGAGCGCCGACGGCTATACCGGTTCCGGCACGGCTAGCCGAGTATAGGAGGACTGGCTTCTAATGGGTGTTATGAACGCGGTTCTAACCTGCCCGCTCTCGCGAAATTACCGGCTGGGACAGCGTTACGCTCTTTCGCGTTCTTCTTCGCTGGGTTTCTATGAATGGACCGGGCTACTCATGACCAGCTCTCGTCATTCTTTGGCTCGGAACCGCCACCCTCGGACGGTGCCAACGCCCCCCAAAATGTCTTCAGCCCGGGCATGATCATGCCTGTGCCCATGCCTATGCCTCCTTCGTCTTTCCAGAACACGAATATGTTTGGCGGGGACGGGATGGGGATGCAGGGGATGGAGGGCGGGCAGGGCCATGCAGGGAGCCAGAACCAAAGTCAAAGCGGCCAGATGAATTTGGCAGAGCAGTTGCGCTTGATGAAGCTGCAGCAGTTGCACCAGCTGTCGCAGCAGATTTTCCAGCAGCAGGTGAGTGGGACTCAGGTTTTGAGCAAGAGTGATAGTAGAGTTCCCGAGCGAGGTACCGCGAACAGTTTGACGCCCGGAGCCCTGTCAGGGTCTTGTGATAAAGACTCTGGGCGATCGTATGGCCGGAGGAATCTGCGTTTCTGCACTTTATGTCTTCTCATTATAGCAAGGTACTCATAGATATCCTCAGCTTGAGCTCATCAATGGTCAGGGCTCCCTCAACTCTGCAGCGACTTCTTTGGAGCTTTCCAATAATCCACAGGCCTATCATGGACTTCCAACACCCAGTGAGTGCTTCCTTACCTTCCCGAAACTTCAGGTCCTGAAGTTTGCTAGTATCCTCGACGGAGCTACGCCCACAATCTAACCAAGACTTCGTTTCGCCAATGGTGCTATTCCAGCATTCAGAGTACAACATCCAGCGGGAGCAGCACCATCCCCAGGCCAGCACGTCGCACCGTCCTCCAGAATCCTCTCCTGTATTCCCTCCTCACCAACACCACCACCAACAGCCTCCGTACAACACCTCATCCGCCCGCTCTGCCCCGGCCGACCTCGCCTTCACCATCATGTCACCACAGGTCCCCCTATCGTCACCCGGCGACATGGAGGGCTTCGACATGTCGCCGCTCGCGAGCCCGTGGTTCCCGGCGCAAGCTGGCCCGCCACAGTCGTACGCCGCCGCCCCAAGCAAGCGGGCGGCGTCGACGAGCGGCGACGAGACGTCGGGGAAGCCGACGCGGAAGCGGCAGTCGCCGCTCGACACCCGACCGACGGCGCCCCTGCCGAGTCGCAGGATGTCGACGTCGCGCGGGACGAAGAGTGCAAATTCCACGCCGTTGCTCACGGGGAGCCGGCGGCGCGGAGGGAGTATCGTGACGGATATCCCGGGGGACACGCCGAGTCCTGTGGACTTGTCGATGCCCCCGCCTGCGCCGCCTCCCCCTGGGCCGAGTACGTCGGCGAATGCGCCGCCTCCGAATCTTATGCCTGCCACCCCTGGTAGCATTATGAAAATCGGCAACATGGGCTTGGGCAGTGGGTTGGCACCGCCGAGTGCTGGTCAGTCGAAGGCGGAAGGGACCTCGAAGCAAAAAGCGTCTGGGAAGGCAAAAGCTTGTGGCAAGTCTAAAGATGCGAAGAATGATGCAGCCGTGCGCGTCAGCCCTATTCTCAAGCCTATACTACCAGGTGAGTTTCCTTGTATCCACAAATAATCGTTTTGAGGCATATCATTGATTTTGAATGTTCGTCACTAGCCGGAGGATCTTCCTCTCTGACCATGACTCCCGCAACGCCCTCATCACAGCCCCTCCTCCAGGGCCGCAAAACATCCCACAAAGCCGCCGAGCAAGCACGCAGGGACCAGATCAAAGCGGCGTACAACGACCTGCGGATGCTCCTCCCGCCCATCCCGAGCGAGGCGGTCAGCCAGGAGCACGTCCTGCCCGGGTCGATGCCCCCGCGCGGGCCGCCGAAGGGTGAGGGCCCGAACAAGGCCGTGAGCAAGCTTCAGCTATTGCTGTGCGGTAATGATTATATCCGGAAGCTGAAGGGGAGGGTGGAGAGGAGGGACGAGGAAATTGCGAGGTTAAGGGAGGAGGTGCGGAGGCTGAGGGTGGTTGTGGGGGACGCGGATGAAGGTGGTGAAGAGCTGGATTTGGAGAGGGATCTAGATGCTGCGGAGCCTTCTGCGCTGAGGATGAGCAGCGTCGGGGATGGGGATGAGGCGGATGAAGAAGAGTATTAAAATGAATTATAGAATGTAGAAGATACCTCTTTCGTCATTACTTTTGGGCATGTACGGATTTTTGAATTTTTATATCAGCGGAAGGCTCTGTTCTCGAGTGATAGCATCCTGTCGTCTTTTGCACCCGATGTCTATTGCTGTGTGTGGGAAGATCTGCTGAGATGGTTGATAGCAGTACAAAGGTAATCAGTCTCAAATGATACATCAAATAACGTCGATACAGATATTCTTATAACTACATTCTTGGTACCTAGGCGTTCACCGCATTCTCGTACCCAATCTTCCTCTTCCCCTTCGTATCCTCTGCGTAATTCTCATAGAAATTGTTCTCGTCCTTCCCCGGCTCGCCGGGCTCGTCACCGTGATTCCGCCCGGGGCCGTCCCAGAAGTGAAACGCCTGGCTCTGCACGCCGTAGGAGGTGGGCACGACCTCGAGGAGGTCACCGCGCGCGATCTCGATGGCGGGGATCTCGGATGCGGGGAGGCCAATGAGGTACGCGAGGAGGCAGCGGATGACGGAGGCGTGCCCGATGATGAGGAGGTCTTCTTGCTCGCGCTCGAGCTCGATCAGTATTGGTTCCAGGCGGACTGTAAGTGCAGAGTACGTGATTCATTATGTTAAGCCTGGATAAGGGACTGGAGGAAGAAAAAGCATACCGCAGAGATCGTGGTAGCTCTCAGCGCGGGGCGCACGGTACGCGTACGGGTCCTTGACGAAGCGCTCCCATTCGTCGGGGTAGTACTTCTTCACCTGGTCGGGCGTGAGCCCGTCCCACACACCGGGGTTTATCTCGGACATCTGCTGCTTCTCGACGACCTTGACATTCGCTTTGACCGCGTCCGGGGTGAGGAACGGCCATGCGGTGTGGTGCGAGCGGCGGCGGGAGGACGTCCAGACCTGCGTCGTTGGAGGGAGAGTAAACCCTCAGTGCTGAGTGGGATGACACATGAGCGTGAAGGGAGGGATGCTCACCACGAGCTTACGGTCGCCGGTTGTCATGCCCTTGTCAGCGAGGGACTTCTTGCGTCGGTCCATAACAAACTCCTTCAAACGCTCAGCGTAGTCCCATCCGCTGGGCGAGAGGTCCGAGTCGGCCTTGTACGAGTGCTCGATGAGGGATTGGCCAGACTGTCATTTGAGAGCGGCGGTTAATATATGATGCGGGATGCCACGTAGGTTCATAATAGGACTAACACGAGCAAAATATATTGTGCGGTAGCGGTTGTGGATGTTCATGAGGAAGAAGACGATCCGAGACTGGTAATTGGGTGTAAGTGGGTTTGACTACTCAGGCGAGCAGGTGTCTCACTTGCAGGTAGCCACGGATGTCCTATGCAAAGGCGGTCAAAAAGGGACAGGATACGATGCCGCTGGACTTACATTAACCATAATCTTCTCGCCAACCTGTAATAAGCGTCGGAGCTTGAGCTCGTGAGTATATCACAGGCAGCATGGATGCCTACGTTTATGATCCGAATGAAGGGCCAGGTCGTCTCCTCTACGGGTTCGTAGTACCTCTCGTGATCTCTGATACGGCCCCAGTAGTCCTCCACAGCCTTGTCTGGGTCCCAGCCTTTGTACTGTTTCGCGTGGTTACACTATGGCTAGACTCATGGAAAGACATGGATGTACCCACATCGGGGGAGGAGATCTTTACACTACGGATGTTCCGCTCTATGAGTTTGACGTTATCACACACCGACTCTGAAGCGAAGGGATTTAATTTCTTAGCGTAGCACAGAACCAGACTAGGCATACCCATCATGACAACGTGGATGCCGGCCTTGTCGAACTTCTCCGCGAGGGTCTGCCTCGCCTGGCGAGTTCCATTATTCGCATCGTAGATCACTACCTGCCCCCCACTATCAAAGAAGTTCCAGATGAGCTGCTCGCAGCCGCTAGCGACTTTCTGCCTCAGTGCCATGGTCTCCGGGCTCTTCTCGCCTACTGCACAGTCAATGCGACAGGATTGTGGTTGCACGCAGAACAAGCATACCCAAGGTGAAGTAGTCAGGCGGGAGTTTCTGCGCGCCTCCGATCATCTTCCGACGGTAGTCCCCTAGAGATATCACTACCGTCTTGACACCCATCCATCGCAGGTACCGCTCGAGGGCTCGCGAGATGTGCGTCTTGCCTCGGGCGGGGAGGCCGACAGTTACGACCAGGATTTTTCCGGCATGGAAGAGGAGACCGGATGCGGTCGTGTATAGAGGTGCAACCATAGTGAAAGGTTACTTGATTGCGGCTGTAAATCGCGGGCTTCACAGTCAGTCCCTGACACGCTCCTGAGTCCTAGATGACTGCCGATAGCCGTGCATACCGTTTCCTCCTGGGTATCAAGCTGCCACTAGCTTCAGTCCACTTCGTTGCGCGCGTCTCTCCAAGTATGAACCTGAGATTTATGTTGACAAGTCCGCGAGACCGACGTTATGCCCTCGCCACAATGATCTAAGTAACTTCTAAGGACAGATATCTACCGCCGACTGCCGGTGGCTAAGCTGCTTCGATTAGCACGTGCGCTGTGCTTTCCTATTTCGGACGCTATACTGGCAGGAGGGCGGCCAAGAGCCTCCCGATATTTACGTCCTACCAACACCTTGGGTATTATGCTGCAGATATGTCGCTCAGAGGATGGCGAGGTCATACAGGTGAACGCAACGTTGCGCGACATTGAAAGGTGCGCCAGGGAGCACAGGCATCAGAGGCGCGTCGCTAACGTTTGGGTAGGATCGGAACCCTGGAATCGTTCTTGCATCAGGAGACAGGTGTCGAGGAGGAGGCGATCCTGGCATATCTATCCGACGGAAAGCGACTAAGGAATGATAACTTGCGGGAACTGGCTGGCGCCCAGGACCAGGTGCGTTTAGTACTTGAGGCGTTCACGTTGAAGAGCGCAGCACGCGACCTCTGTCCGACCTGCCATGACTTCCGTGAGCAAAAACACAGCGCCTGGCGCTAACCAAGGTAATTTGCAGACGATATTTGTGTTCAACAAGTATTACTTGGATCTGGACTTGGACGAAGTGCTGAACGAGTTGAGGGTAGAGCCTTCTCTGCAGGCTCCTTTAGAAGGTGAGGCTTCTCGATGTCAGGACTCGGAAACTTTGGGGTTTACTAACTCTCCCAGACGCGATAGCTGCAACGCCCCCCGTCCGTTATACTGAACTTGCCACATCCTGCGTGCGGATAGCTCAGGATCACCGCGATGAGGTAACCCACACGCTATCGACACTCCGGTACCAACATGAAGCACTGCGAATAGCCTCTGACAGCCTAGACCTGAATGTGCTTGCCATTGCAGAGGCGTTTGACAGCATTGCGGTCGGGGCGCGGCAGGAGCTGGACAAACAGGCTTCTCTCTTGTCAGGGATAGACGCTGACCTGGACATGGTGAGCCGTGTGCAAGTGCACGTGGAGTTTCTCTCCCCCGGGGTGCGAAGGGCGATTGAGTCCGGCGAGAGAAGGAGGACTTTGGGAGACTATGTTGCGAGTAAGAAGATGCAGCAGGTGGCGGAGACGTGCAGGCGCACCCATGGTAGGTCTGAGTATTCCGCGTTGCGTGCTATATAGACTTTGGGCACAGAGGACCTGCAGAGCCGGTTCGAGCAAGCACAGGCTGCGATGACCAGGTTGCAGCAAGGGGCGGACGACGTCAGGGCGTTTGTGACCGACATGAGGTGACTATAAATCGTGCATTCCGTTGTTTGGTATACCTAGCTCCACCACAGCCTCCTAGATAATGCAGAATCGTCTTCGCGTGCCGCTCAAGACATCTTTGACAAGATAACCGATGCGGCAGCTGCACTCGAGAGTACGTCACATTCGTAGGACACGCCGAGATCTATCTACCTAACCACTCACAGGCCCCGCCTCCAATCAGGAGCGCCTTGTGCAAGGTATGGCTCACGCTTGACGTCTCCCAGTGGACAGGTCCGTAATGATAATCCAGAACTGAGACAGTTAGACGCTAGACTGCGCGACCAGGTCGTCGCGCTGACAAGCTTCAAGGTAATTGCCCTGCTAGAACACCTTGAGTTCCCGCCACTTACTGCATTCGACGTGCAGAACACACATACGGCGACATGTATACGCGCACTCCGGCGAATCAGTACACTGAACAACGATCTGGTACAGCTGCCCGCAACGCTGACGTCCCTGCAAGCGAGCTTCCGCGCAAAGACGAGTTTCTCGCACGTTCAACGGCTGCACAACATGCTCTACGCGTACGGCGCCACCGTCATCGAGATCGTCAGGAGAAAGGAATTCGGTTCGTATATAGGACGCTACCTTTCTGCGCGTAAGCAAAGGCTTACGGGTTTCCCAGCCAGGTTCTTCTTCCAGCGTGCTCAGAGCATATTAGAAGTCATGGCGAAGTTCTCGTGCGTCGGATCTCTCCTAGTTCTAGTACATGACCCTCCCGTTGATACTGCTACCTTCAGCGCGAGCGAGAGGAAACGGAGGCAGATCTACAAAGGAGAGATACAAGGCCAGCTGCCGTTCGATACGCGCCTGGATGACCCGGTTCCCCAGATCGACTTCCAACCGCAGGGCAGCACGGACTCTCCATATTCGTTCGAGCGGTCCGACATCGAGGGTGAATGTTATCCATTTTTGAGTAGAGTGGCCACTATTTACTCAACACCCGACGTTGTTTATAGACTATCTGAAACTCTTGGACGAGCTCGACCGATTCGCGCGTGCTTCTGCTGACCACATAGCGCTAGCTACCATCCGTGAGACCCGCCTGGGACTTGAGAGACTTATCAGCAAGATGGACAGCCTGGAGGCGGGGTTTGACCGTATCGCGGAACGCTCCCGTGAGTGACGTGGACGTATGGTGCGATGCACCGCTGACCTCTACTCACCCATAGTGTTGTCGTCTTCCAGATTGTCGATGTCTCGGCGCCGTGGTCAGTCCTCCTCAATCCTAAATGTCGCTCGTTGTGGTCCTAACCTGCACAGCTTCCGAGCTCGAGGAGCACGCCTACGCGGAGCAATTGCAGTCTATCCAACGGGAGAAAAGCGAACAAGAGCATCGTTTCGAGCAAGAACGCGCCGCCTACCTTGCAGAGATCGACCGACTCAAAGCCGCCTTGCAGGACGCCGACGTCACTGCTGACCGTGCTGACCGCCTCGAACGCGACCTCCATCAGGCCCGGGCGCAGGTCGAAAGCGAAGTTACCGCTCGTAGAGTGCTGGAGGAGCGGCACTCGGAGCTGCTGTCGGAGGTCGAGCAACAGCGGCAGGCGTTGACTGCTGCTTTAGCTGATGCCACGGAACAGACCAGGAATGCTGAAGTTTTGCGGCAGGAGCTAGCGAAGATGCGCGAGGAGTACGAGGATGTGAAGGCTTTGGAAGCTCGGCACGCGGCCCGAATATCTGCCCTGCTGGAAGATCAGGCCACGACGTGGCGGAACCTCGAGGAGGCTCGTTCCAGGGGCGAGGATCTCCAGGCGCAAATCCAATCTGCCCGCCAGGAAAGCGAGGATGTTCGAACTGCCTTGGAACAGGCTAACAAAGAGAAAGATCGGCTGCTCAAAGCGCAGGCCTCCGAGCACGATCGGATAATGCGCGATTGCATAGCGGAGGCGGATGGAGACCGAGCTGTTCTGGAGCATCAATTTTCCGAGTTACGCGCCGCCCTCGAAGACGCTGAGCGACAGCTCAAGGAGGCGTGGTCGCGAAACGAGATGACCAACGCTGATGCCATGGGCCTTCGGGAGGAGCTCCAGCGTGTGGAACACCAGCTGCGCGAGGCTCGGCACGCCGAGAGTCTGCTGCGAGAAGATCTTAAAGCCGGAATAACGTCCCAATCGGACTACGAACACCGACTCGAGGAGAGCAATCGATTGGTAGCCCAGATTCTAGACGTGGCTATCGCTTTCCGGAATTCGCACGTCAAAGCGATAGCCACAGTTCAGAACATGGTTTCCCACCCTCGACTGTCAGGCAACCAAGCAGACTTGTCGCTCTCGCAGTCGTTCAGACCCGGTATCAACGGGAATGTGGATGAGCCTTCCCCGATCGATCCTTCTGACCCCGCAGCTGCTTTGGAGCACCTGCGAGAGTTCGACCATGATCATTTCTTGGAGATAATAGCAAAGGCCGGTTCTGTCATTCGTAAGTGGCAGAAACAGTGTAAGGAATATAGGGAGCGGGCCAAAGGCAAGATCTCCTTCCGCAACTTCGCTAAGGGGGACCTAGCATTATTCCTGCCAACCCGTAATTCCGTTTCGAAGCCTTGGGCCGCGTTTAACGGTGCGTGTGTAAAGTCTACCAAAAGAATGCTTTCCTCAGGTCGTTCCATTTTCTGTCATACTAGTATCCTTCCCGCACTATTTCCTCAGTGCTACGGGCCACCTTGCAGAACAGCTGAAGACTCGGGAATGGATCGTAGCTCGTATCACTTCCATTTCGGAGCATGTTGTCGATCATAGAGTGAGCCCGGACAGCTGCTTCTTTTCATTATTGCTTGCTAACATTCCTCTCACAGGATCCTAACAGCAATCCTTATGGCCTGGGAGATGGTGTGAAATATTACACCCTCGAAGTCGAAGATTGGACGCAGCCGAGTCCACCCTCGAAGAAGAAAGTGTCAGCAAAGAAGGCAGCTTCGGCCGAAGCGCCACCACCACCTCAGAGCGAGCCTCTACCTTCGGTACCTCCCGTCGCAGAAGTTGAGGAGTCTTTCGAAGCCACACGTCCTCCGAATTCCCACCTATTTCCGACGCGCAATCGCACTCAATCATCCCCCACCGCTGGCCCATCGTCGCTCTCACGGCTTCTCGCACAGGCGCCGGTTGATGCTCTTGAGACGATCCCAGCCTCAAGGGACCAGACGCCTTCACCGGCTGTTCCATCCCCTCCGGTCGCAGGTCCGTCCTCCTCGTCGTCGCAAGCGAGTCCGGCTCCTGCGGTGCCTACACCCAGCCGGCAGTCGCCCCTGCGTTCTACTTCCAGAGCCTCGCGGGTATCTATCTCGTCTCGGTTTTCCGGCGGACGGATACCTCCGCTGGGAAGTGGGCCTCCTGGGTCACCGGCTACCGCAAAGGCCGCGCCTACCACGGCACTGTCGGGTCAACCGCTCGTTTCTTCTCCCGTGGTAATAAACGACGATGGGTCATCCACGTCGCCGGGGGACTCGGCCGTGCCTTCGCCGGAAGGCTCGCCATCGGACGGGATGTCGAATATGCTAACGTACCGGCGGCGCACGAGCTCGTATCACGTTCCGAGGACATCCCCGCTATCGACGACCACGACGGCGGATTCTGTCGGCAGCACCGCTTCGAAACCGAGTGGCGGGGCTGGGGTGGGCGTGTCTGCCAGCAGCACGCTTGCGAACCTGGCGAACAGCTGGGGCATGTCTTTCGGCCGGCGGAAGAAAGCTGAGATGAGCGGATTATCTCGTGCCTCCACCTCCAACGGCGCAGGGCCCGAGGCGGACAGCGGACGCCGCAATTCGCTGGCCGGGGAGTCGTCGGCGTCTGCTAGCGAGCTGCTGAAGCGGTTGTAATGTTCTGGCTACATAGCCAACATTGACCTCCCCCTAGCACCCGAGTATTTCGCCATGGATTTTCCGAAATCCTCTTGGTATTTGGTCTAGTCCGATTCTGATTACTCTGTACACGTCGTTGCTAGTCGCTTTCTCTTTGCTTTGATTTCTCCGTCTTATCTGTGTAGAGATACATTCATTCCTACTAATTGGCTGCCACGCATCGGGCTGGCGCCTATTAGTCTAATCATCGCGCACGGACTTCACATGGAGAGTATGGTCAGAAATTCGATCAAGGGACGCCCGCCACAACAAAAATAGGCGTTTCAAAATGGAGCTGAAAGTGAACACCTGTGCATTTGCTAAAAATAAGGACGGTCTGCGCAATGGCGTCGGCACCCTTGGCATCGGGACTGTCAGAATGTGATAGCTCTGTCTTAACATAGGGTATGTACGTAGAGCACGACTACGGTTGACCATCTGGGTCAGGTCAAATTTAAAAGTCACTGACTCACATTGCGACTGCTGTGTTCGATCCCCCGTGGGGTGGATGGGGATATTGGGCGGAGTTTGAATTGTCGCAATCCACTCAGCGGACGAGGGATACTGAGGGGGCTACAGTAAAAATGTACTACGTCTTGACAAGGCTTCATCCGGACGCTCCTGAAGAAGTGTGACGCAAAATCTCTACACGATATGAGCCTATGCTTGTCGTAAGAGATTTGTTGCTGAGAACATGCGACGGGAGTTGCCGATATTTGAAGCTCCGCTCCACCAAACAAACGGTCAGCTGCAGTCTTGTGTATGGGTATGTCGCGCACTGGGCTTTTGTAGTATAATATTGGGGGCGTTCTATAAAGAGATACTGGAGTACCCGTGCTAGGGCTAGTGACCTCCAAGAGAAGAACACAGGCGGGGAGCTACATCAAGCAGCCACAGCCACTTGCGGGATATCATATATCAGTATCGGCAGGTGGACTGTGCAGCGCGAAGTGTAAACGGTTGTGAAGCATTAAAGGATACGTATATACGGTTAGTACTAATGTGCACTAAACGGCACCGATAAGTCTTTCCGCCCGTCGCTCCCCGAAATATGTGGGCTGGGGATTCGCATCCTCTCGGAGTAGTGGTCCCGAACCTTATTGATTATCGAACAGTCACTACTGACTGTAAAATTCAGTGCCGCGCTACGTACATAATATTGATAGATGTATTCAACCCCCTTCAGAGACTGTTTCGGGATTGGCCGAAAGCTGTCAACGCGGAGGATCGAACAGGACCCCGGCATACTGGTATATATGTTTGATCCTAGTGCGGACATAAACGGCCAATTTTGAGGCCCTATGTCGGATATTTAGGCAGACATAAAGCCCAAAATTTCGGTCCATGTCCGGTATATCACGGCGGACACAAGGGCCTTGCCGGTCTTGGTGTCCGATCACCTGGCGGACATACCAAGTCGTCGAAGTGTCACACCCAGTAGTCCTTGTACTAGGTTGAGTGGTGTCTCTTATGCTTCTCAGTCAACTGTCAGCTCGTCTCGTGTATATCCAGGTATATCCTCAGCAACGGTGAATGAAATGCAAGCTTTGGAAACAGTGGTGGATCTTAGGAAGACTGAAATACAATATCCCAGAGTAATCATGTCACGATCTACTCGTTGCAGCGTTGGGCGTGTGCCGGTTTCGAGGTTGGATCCGTTTGGCGGACACACCGGCGCCCGAGCATAGGTCACTTATGCGGACATAAGCAGCCCAATTTGTGCTGACCGGATCCTAGAGGCGGACATATCCGGTCCAAATGTGTGAGGCCATAAGGGCCGAAAATCGGGCACTTAGGATCAAACATCAGTACCCATATGCCGGGGTCCTGATCGAACCCAAGGCAGCCTCCAAGTTGTGAGGCGACTTTTGAATTTGACCTGGCCCAGATGGTCAACCGTACACGACGCCATCGAACATGACACATTGATAGCAACAGACAGTATGAGCTCACCTGTCTCGCAGCGGTCTGTTGTATTATGGGCGTCAGCGTCATCCCCGGCGTCCTGGGTGGCTTACCTTGCCCATCATGTCTATTTTGAAACTCGCAGAGCCTTGCGGATTAAATGTTAACCGTTGAACGGAGCTTCTGGCGCCGTTACGAGGGGTATCACTCCTGTCTGTCCTCGTATGGCATGTTACGGGGGGCGCGGGAGGATCATGGTACGCCTGGCAGTTGAACGTTGAGGTCTGATCCGGACAATGCACGGGAAGACTTCGGAAGCCGGGGGGCGCGATCGCGCGTGGCAGGGGCATAGCTTTGAAAATCAGGGAAAGCGCGACAGATCATTGTCCAAGGGTCCGCGCCTGAGGACTGGCACGACCTGGCCAGAAGACGCTGATGGAAAGGGCCGCGTGCGAGCTCGAGAGGATCAAAGATGAGACGTACAGAACGTACGGGCGGCTAGTGCGGGGATTGGCGAAAGACTGCAAAAGTGTGTTTAGATTGGGCGAAAGAAAACCCGGAGGCATGCTTTCGGGTCCGGCGTGTGCATCCTGAAGATGTAGCCGGGCTGGTCGGGCGATGATCCATATGATCCTGGTTAGGCTGCTTATTATGCGGGAGCAATAAGGCTGGCGGCCCGGCAGATGCTGCGTTTTGATGGCGTGTGGGGAAGAATGCGGGGAAGGTACGCTGCGGGGACGGGTTTGTTCCTGGCACCGACCAGCCCCGCCTCTCGGAACACGAGTCGAGCGCAAGTCTGTTTGTCAGAAATGTTTCGACATTGTCGCGGCTGTTCCGGAGCTATTCTTGCGATTGTATGGGTCCGTATTTGTGTCGAAGAGCATGACGACATGGAAGTTGCGGGTTTGTCAGGTTACTCAGACGCGTACCTGTGACATACAGAGAAAACATAGGATCGTCGTGATTGCAGACGATGAAAAAAGCTGCCTGGAATTTGCTGGACCCCATATTTTGACGAGCGGGTTGGCATGCAAACCGGGCTTCAATGCGGACTTTGCAGGTGCATCTGGAGCAGGAGCTAATTGATGTCGGTAGTGCCTGGAGTGCACTCTGGATCTTGATTCTGGAGGAAGCCAGCCAATGGCGGCGTCGCGCGCGTGCGGGGAATCTGGAGAAATTCTGGAGAAACCCACGTTCGGGCAGTCACATGGGGCAGTCACGGATGCGCTCTTCCTCTTTTGGGCCTTGGTGTAACTTGCTGCCCACTCGACCAGGTTCCCAACTATAAAGTCCTATGTACTAGGCGTCCCTTCCTTTGCCGCACACCTGCGTCCTTCTTTTCCATCACCTACTTCGCCACATTCTGTACTCTGATCCATCATGGTTGGAGGCGCAGTCGCTGTAAATGGGGCCGACACGGCCATGTCACGGCTCATTGACCCCAACCGGAAATGGTACAACAACAAGCGGTATGTAGGTTCGGTTATATCGGAAGTACAGAGGATAATATGAACTGCTTCAAGACTGTTGGCCCTTAACGGCTGGATTGTCCTACTGTGAGTCCCTCCGTTTCATTACTTGTCTGGGGCCACCCGGTCTAACTATTCGCTAGCCTCATCACATCTTCGACAAATGGTTACGACGGGAGTATGATGAACGGGCTTCAGTCGCTACCACAATGGGCGAATTACTTCGGTAATCCCACCGGCGGCAAGCTGGGTTTATTAAACGCCATCCAGGTATGTTCCCAGTGTTGCAGTATTGTGAGGTTTGTATCTAACCTACTTGTTGCTAGAATATCGGCTCTCTAGCTGGCTACCCCTTCGCCCCCTATGTGTCAGACGGCATAGGTCGACGAGGCGCCATCTTCCTGGGCGCTGCCATAATGTGCATAGCAGTGGCAATCCAAACCGCTGCCTATTCCGTCGGAATGTTCATCGGCGCTCGGTAATTAAATAACGTTCTTCAATTCATTCCGGTTGCATTCTGATCATCTATCTGCTTGTTGATGCACAGTTTCATGATCGGCTTCGGCCTTACTTTTGCTGGTGAGCAGTATTCGCGGATCTGCACTTCCATGCTCTCGGCCGAGACTGATCTATCCCCTCCTCAGCGAATGCGGCACCGATGCTCGTGTCCGAGGTGTCCTATCCTACATACCGCGCGCCTCTCACCTCCCTATATAACTCGTTATGGTACTCCGGCGCTATTATGTGAGTTCTATCAATAGCCGTCACTGTTGCAGGAGGACTAATTAAGGGCTACTCAGTGCCGCTTGGTCCACCTATGGTACCTTCAAGATTCCAAGTACATGGGCATGGCGTCTCCCGTCTCTATTGCAGGGCATCCCTTCCATTCTGCAGGTCTTCCTCATCTGGTTCGTCCCCGAGTCGCCGCGTTGGCTCGTGAGCAAAGGAAAAGATGCCCAGGCCTTGCAAACGCTCGCCTACTACCACGCCGACGGCAATGAGTACGTCCTTTCCCCTTCTGCTTCCGAGGTGTGATTGTCTGACTATACTGCGCCTCCAGCCAGGACCCGCTTGTCCAATACGAATACGAGGAGATCCGCGCCGCGATCGAGTTCGACCGCACCGTCGCCGCCAACGTCGGCTGGAAATCCTTCCTGACGACGCCGGGCAACAGGAAGCGCGTACGCATCATCGTCGCGATCGCCTTCTTCTCGCAGTGGTCTGGCAACGGGCTCGTCTCGTACTACCTCAACAAGGTCTTCGACACGATCGGCATCACGGACCCGACGACGCAGCTCCTCATCAACGGGATCCTGCAGATCTGGAACCTGTTCTGGGCGTGCGGCGCGAGCTTCATGGTCGACCGTGCGGGGCGCCGCATGCTCTTCTTGACGAGCGCGGGCGGGATGCTGCTGTTCTGGACGGTGCAGACGATTTGCGTTGCGCTGTTCGCGGAACACCGTAGTCCGGACGCAGCGCATTCGGTTATTGCGTTCATCTTCTTGTATTATGCTGTTTACGAGTGAGTCTCCTGTCCCCGGTGGTTGTTCTTGGGAGGATGTGTGGCTGATGCCCTTCTTAGCCTTGCATTCACGCCTCTCATTGTATCATACACCGTCGAAATTCTGCCGTTCGCCCTGCGCGCGAAGGGCTTCAACATCTTCAACTTTACGATATCCTGCGCCCTAATCTTCAACCAATACATTAACCCCATCGCCCTGGATGCCCTCCAGTGGAAATATTATGTGAGCATGCCCTCTTCTCATTCCGTGCAAGGGCGCGTCTGACGGATCCCTCGCAGATCGTGTACGTCTGCTGGATCGCCTTCGAATTCGTCTTCCTATACTTCTTCGTGGTGGAGACGAAGAACCTCACGCTCGAAGAGACGGCGGCGCTGTTCGACGGCGCGGAGGCCGCCGCGGAGGTGGCGCACGCGGGTGCTACAGAAGTACGTGAAGACGCTTCTGAGAAGGGATCACACGGCGGATACAGCCCCCAGGCCGAGCTCAAGGCATGATTCGCATACACGAACGCTATTCCTTCCCCAAGTGTAAATGTACCCCATCCACGTTTTTCTTTCTCCTTGGATGCTCATATCTTTCACGAGCGCGGGTGTTGGTGCTGGGGTTTATGATAAAATATATATCGTATCTATACCGCGAGGAGTCCGGCGTGGGTGGACGAGGACAGCCATTAATGATGACCATTTGTATTATTTCCACACGAACCTGCGCTTGTGTATGATAATTATTTGATTCAGTTATCCTATCTCTCCTTCGGGCTCGTGATGACGCGCGGTCTCCCGGTATGGCAGGTGTAGTATTCGTGCTTCGTTTTGCACTCCGAGTCTCTGGCGTCTCTCATCCCCGCGGACTCCGATGTCGGATTTTGCTTGGAGGGTGTCAACCACGACGGCAGTGTATCCATACCCAATGCAGAACCACGATGCGCGACAAATTAGAATTATGCACTCGGGTCCTGAACAAGAACCTGTGCTTGGCGCCTGAGAGTTGTTAGGAGGAGAGCTGAGGAGAACCTACCCTGCTTTTGGTGATGCGCTCACTTCTCACCTTCTGGCGTCCTGCTTCAATTCCGTGGCCTTATGGGACCACACTTTCCGGCCTGCTTTGTACCGGAAACGCTATCATGATGGACGAGGAGCGAGGGGAACGCGCATCGCCCAACGTTAACTTGCAAGTCCACTCTGGCCGTTCGATGGCAGATTGTCTTAGAATGTATCCTGCATTTCACCTTCACTTTTGCCGGCTGGAATAACCGCTCGCAAGAAGTGTAAGCCGGTGAGTGGTTCTGAGGCTGCCCACTGGCAGAGGGCTGGTCATCTTCGAGACATCTTGCCTATAATGGAAAACTCAGCGGCTCGTACGTGGTCAACCCTTTCCATTCCTCCCATGTCGCCGACGAACCCATGGAGCAGACTGTCTTAGAAGTGCGTCAGGCTAGCGCAACTCTCAAGTAGCATTGAGAAGAGTGGTCGGTTCCCGGACATCCGTCGTTCAGGCCTACGAAATCGCCAGTCGCGGCGATATTGCCTAGTAGCCGCTATAAGGTCAGACTCGGATTCCAGAATACCTCCCTGTCCCTATAGAGAAACCGTGATCAACCTGTCTACCACGGGGCTGGAGGTAGCGAAATGCCACAAATCCGTAACTGAGCGGGAAATCGAGTAATTCGCCTACATGATTTACCTGGCCCTAGTCCAGGACGAATACTCGACGAGGCTCCTTCGCAATCCATGACTCGGTATCTACTATCATTTGGGTAGTTTTGCAAAATTTGCAAAACTACCGCAGCCCCTAGAGAGAGCTCTATACCAAATTAAAAAATTCAGAGACTTTTTAGGCATGTAGATATAGACTAGTAGATACCCTCTGTCAAGTTGGTTTAGGGAAATATCGAGTGGTCATGGAGAGGGAGGAAGAGGAGGATGTTTGCAACCGCCTACAGACCGTGTGAAACCTAGATCTGGTACTCATTCCATGGTTTTTTGCCGGGATTTTGTTTGGACTATACTGGTGTACCATACATTGAGCTACTCAACCTGCCCGATTGTGAAGAGATTGAGGATGTAGCTATAACGATGCTGTTTTGCAAAACTTCGAGAGGCAGATCGTGACAAAAACGTGATGGATCTCGCGGGGATGTCACGCGTGACAAACTTTTGCAAAACCCCCTGCACACGCCGGCATCTGTCCAGCATCCTCTACATCACGTATTAAAATACAAAAAAATCACAGTTGAGTACATAGAAGGGTGCTACACAATGCCATGAAAAACCTCTGATGCAAGAGCCAGCGAACTGAGCGCAACACGTCGATTTACAGAGAGTTTTGCAAAACTACCCAAATGATAGTATGGGAACACGGCTAAAGCTTCCCCATGCACCGTTGAATGGAATCTTGCCAATGATGCTGATGCTGATGATTGCGCCTCCGGAACGGCTTGAGACGCCGCAGCTCAATACTTATGGCGAGTACTCGGGCCCATGCACGGGCATCTACAACTCCAATCTCCAGGTAGGTCCTCTCAGGATTCATGGGCGCCGAGGCTTTCATCCGACTCCCCCATCCAGTGGATCTCATGCTCCTACTGCGCATGAGATGGACCATCGTAAAAGCCGCAGGTTGTCAGATATGTAAGATTCGGGATCGATCTCCGGTCAGTGAAGAATGAGCCGGTGATGACCATCAGCTGTTTCCTGCCTGAGTCAAAGTCACATACATATTTAACCCAGATATTTTTGGCTTACTTTTACTGGCATCACACCCTGGTGTTGAGAGTCACATGTATACATAAAGGAAGGGTAAACGAATTGTACTGTAACTTATTCTCACATTAGAGCCGGAAGCAGAGGATAAAGATCAGAGAAAGGGTACGATGATGTCAAAACAGGGAGAAAAGAAAACGAGAAAGGAGCGGAGGGCAGCCCTAGAGGAACCCGCAGCTTCACCAACTATACACAAAAACGGGGGATCGTTAGGAACGTCGTAGGGGGTCTCCGGCATGTGCGTGCATGTGCATGAAGTCATCACGAGAAATAACAAAATAAGGGATTATGAGGATAATACGAGTCCGATAGAGCGCGAAATAGATATGGGGATGCTGGAGCGAGGGGCAATGGGGGAGAAGAGAGAAGAAAATAGGAGATTGCTTGGAACAATGTAACATCGAGGTCCATCCGCGTGCAGTCTCGCCTTTCACCTTTGTTCTTCTTCTATATCCCCCAGCCCCGGCCAGCATCGCGATACATTACACCCATCACATCTCCGCCACGGCAGTAGTGCGCGGCGCCTCGGTCCCTCGGTTTTGCCCATGTTTATTCTGCTGCATCAGTACATCGCCGAGCCGGCTACCCTCTACTATGTTACACCAACCCTGCCAGCCGCATATAATAACAAACAACCAAGGTGAAGAAAAGGTCTACGTTCGGATCGAGGGACCGGGCCCATCAGATCTTACTAGCGTCCTTTTTCTTCTGTTTGCGCGGTGGTGTAACCGGGCGACCCATGTTCATTCCGCCATATGGATATTTGGCTTTCTTCTCCGCAGGCTTGAGAATCTACACGCGAGATATTTGGCGACAGCTGGAGAATACGAAGCACTCCACGAACCTGGAATGAACATAAGAGTGTCTCGTCTACACTCATCATCGCGCCCGCGTTGTCGAACTCTCCGCAGTAATTGGGTGCCGAGAACAACGTCACAAGCAGTCGCTTTGCAAAGAATTCGTACCCGTCTTCGACGACCTGCAAGTTGGGGCGTCGGTCAGTACGCCCCGCTCTCGGAAGGGACCGAGTGGGGAGCCGATTGCGAAACGCACCTGATGCGCTCGACATATGAGATCCATATCGTGCTTTTGCAGGAACCTTGACACCACATCCGGACCAAACGTAAACGAGACCCCACGATCGTTCTCTGACCAGCCTGTGATGTCCTTGTCTGGATCGGACCATAGTAAGTCGCAAAGCAGCCCTGAGACGCCATACCGTCAGAAACTCCATCCACGCAGCCGCTCATTGGTAGCGTACCTGTGTCTGGGACATCCGTAGGCCTCATCACCCTCCTAATTTGCTCCATCGACTGCAGATCGGGACTCAAACCTCCATGCATACAGAATATCTTCTCATCGATGATGGCAGCTATCGGCAGGCAGTTGAAGCAGTCCGTAAACGTCTTCCATAGTTTGATGTTGTACCGACGCTTGCCTATCGACCACGCGACGGTTTATAGAGGAAGAAAGCATAGACATGGCTGCCACGTACACTCATCGTAGAAGCCGTATATCCGATTGATGCTGGCGCACTCGTGGTTACCCCGGAGGATGAAGAAGTTTTCGGGGTACTTGATTTTGTAGGCAAGGAGGAGGCAGATGGTCTCCAGGGACTGTTTACCCCGATCCACGTAGTCGCCGAGGAAGAGGTAGTTGGCTTCTGGTGGGAAGCCTCCGTATTCAAAGAGGCGCAGAAGATCATAATATTGGCCGTGGATGTCGCCTGCGCGTAGTGTCAGAAGCCTGCCACGAGTGTTTAATATACAAAGCGATAAGACATACCGCATATCTTAATTGGTGCTTCTAATTCCAGCAGGATAGGTTGGTTGATGAAAATCTCTCGGGCTTTCGTACAGAGATATTTGATTTCGTATTCCTGAAGTTGGACGGGCTTTCCTGGTCGGTTGCCTCGCACTGAAAGTGGATGGTTAAATCCGCGCTTAGGAGGCGACATGTCACAGCATTAGGGTCGCAGGAGTGATGGCAGCCATCCTATCGTTGTACAGGCATCTGGAAGCACCAACGCCCACAACGGCGGCGTTCGACACGCGTGCTTGCCACTCGCCTCGCTTGCGCCCAACCGGTGACTCAGATCCAACATCAAGGTGTCCCCGTGCGCCAGCATGTCAACCGCCCCCTGGAGTGGCTTGAAACGCACCCCTTCCATTCTCCTGCCACTCCCGAGCCCCTGGACAGGCGAAAAAGCTCACCTTCCAACAAGCGGTCAATGACCGAATCGAGATCGATTTCTGTCGCCGAATCTGCCATATCTTGTGTCTCCTGGCAAGGTCGTGAGTCGTGGGCCCTGTTTCGTAATTGAGTTTAGCGCAACCGCGAACTGTTGTTTTGTGGTTGGACGAAGAGGAGGTCAAGCGAGTGCAGGAGAGCGTTGGAACGCAAACAAGCCGCCAGACAACCGGGAGCGGACCAGTTCGGGCGGGGACGGCGCGAGCGCGGGCGAGACTGCGTTACAGAGACAGCGAGTCGGTGGTCAGCCGGCTACCAGCACCGCGAAACGGCGAAGAAGAAAAATAACAGAAAATCGATGAGCTGGAGGGCGAGAGCAGATAACGAGCAGCTTTGATGGGCACCGAGGAACAGAAGGCAAAAACCAAACCCGGAAACTGCGTCGCTCCCGTGGGAATCCTCCGCGGATACACTCACCTGCGGTCCACACTATCGATGTCGACGGCGACGGCGGGATGGAACGCGAAAAATTTACAGAGGGAATGGCGAGGGAGCACAGGCAGAGCTCAGGGGCCAGGCCAGACTGTTGACGTCAAGGTTCACTAGATTAGACAAACACTAATACATTATGGACTTCCAGCTCTACATTCGAATCATAAGGTCGTGTACAGATTCAAAGGGAAGTCCGCATCCTGTAATATCAGCCACTCCTTCCCAGGCGAGGATGGGGCATGGGTATTAACACAACAGCTCTAGAAGCATAGAAGATATGGGCGTAACAATACAAAGTGGGGGCGTGAACGATCGTCTGCTGCGTGCGTCATGAGGGCGGGCGCGATGGTGTGTCGCTCGCGTTGGCTTGGGCTGCCTCTTCGGGTCGGCGTACCCTTCTCCGGCGTCGTCTGTTTACACCGGTCAGCAGGCTTGCCTTTGAAACGCGAGACTCCGGCTGGTACGTACCGAGGGAACATGGGCCCTTTAGGCATCGGCCGCTCGTCCAGATCAAGTGCAATGTTCGTTGCAGCTTGGAAGCCCTGTAGCAAACCAATCTAATCAGTATCTTGAACCGTGCCTGATCAGTAGTGGACCCACCTCAATCCAGTCAACGACTGAAGCGACATCTGCAGCTTGCAGGAGGAACTGTTCCCCTTCCATCCTAACCCGGATAACGTTTCTTCTCTTCATATAGTCACTGCCCAACCCGCTCTCAGCGTGCTGCAAGGTATACACCCGCAACAAGTCCTTGGGATCCGGCGGCGGCAATTCCTGAGGCTTATGGTCGTTTGCACCCGCGGAAGCCGAATTGCGTGCAGGAAGGCGCGACGACCTAAAATGGCTCCGACTGCCTCCAGCCGAAGACGGGCTGAGACTCGTAGGAGACGCGACCAAGCCACCGTTATTCGACGAGCCCCCGAGCGAAGAGGCCGCGGACGACGAGTGCGACGGCGGCCGAGCAAGCGTGAGCGACGGTCGCCCGCTCGAGCTAGCGTCCCCACCCCTGCTCGAGTCCAAGCTAGATCGCCCAAACCGCGACGATGGCCCCGAATTCGAATTCGAGTTCGCAAGCCTCGACGGGTGCAGTAAGCTGACCGTGAACCTCTTCGACTTGCTCTGCTCCTTCTGCCGTTGCTCCTGCTGCTGACTCTGCTGGTCCCCGCCGGACCTAGAGCTTTCGCTTTGCGCGTCCTCGCTCAACTTCGGCGGTCTCTCGGCGCGCTGGTTGGTCCGCACAGCATCAATCCTAATCCGCCCGTCATAGGTCGTTCCGCTAGTATTGGTCGCGTCCCCCACTCCAACTTTGTTCTCCCACCACTCCGTCACAGGGTTGACACCCGCGACGCCAGGCGGGCACTTGTACACCCGGAACGCGGTCCCCTCCAGCACACAGTATACCCTCCGCCACTTGCGGTCTTTCGCCTGCACGCCAGGCGCGGTAAACTCCATCTTCCGCGGCATAATAGCGGCGAGGTAGATGGAGTTGCTGTACGGCGGCAGTTGCTCTCTGCCCTCCTCCTCCCGCGGCTGGACAGCGGGGGCCTTATGCCGCTGGGGGAAGAAGGACGGATACGGAGGCGGCTCCGTATTCGGGTTGAACATGGGCATCGAGCGCCGCCTCCGCAAAGACGGACCGAGATCTTCTGGCTCCTTGGGCGGAGGTGGAGGCCTGGGTGACCAGATACCCTCCGAGGCGCCAGCTGCAGAAGGACCAGGCTCCGGTGCCTTGGGCCTAGCGTCGTCCTGGAGGCCTCCCAGAACCCTCGTCTGCTTCGGCGAAAGCAGGTCGACCATACTTCGCGACGCCTGCTGGTACAGTCCCGGTCGAGGAGAGCCCGGGGTGGGCATCGGGACAGCCAGTGGCTGCTGGCGCGTAGAATCTCCTGCCTTTGGAGTACGCAAGGGCGACATCGTCGGCTCGGGCAGCACAGGCTTGGAGGAAAAGTAATCAAGGGCGCGTCGCGCGGTTGGAGTTAGTTCGCCTTTTGGGCCGTCTTTCTTCGCTTGGAGGAACGAAGCGTCAAATGGAGAGCTGGACACTTGCGGCAAACCTTCTGGGTCTCTGTAACTGGACTCTGACCGCCGACTCTCAGTCGTGTCGTCCCCTTCCTCGTCGTCACTGCCCATATCACCTTCTCGCATCTCCTCCTCCCCCTCGCCATCCCCTTCCATCTCTTCCTCCTCGTCCGACTCTGCGAGCATAGCGTTCTCATGGTCGGCCTGGTGATGCGAGTCATCGGGACCCTCTCTGGGCAAAGCAGGCATACTACTCAACCGCGACTGAGGCCGGATACGTCGGGGTTGCGAAGGACCTGGTGTCGTGGTGGAAATACTGGGGAGATTGAGGATGGGGAATGGGGGATGCCGGGTTATGACGGAGGGAGACAGGCGCGCTAATCCTCCTTCGATGGTGAATCGCGCCGGGGGTGGCGGCAGCGTCGCTAGACGCGGCGCGGGTGATCTTCGACCGGACCCACCGCCTGGTGAAATCGGCACTTGGAGGTTTTCTGTCGCGGTCGCGGTCGCCATGCTCGTGGAGGCCAGGGAAGTCGGAGATTGAGAGGATTGCGGTTCAGGCCGGGTGTCAGCCACCGGGAAGCTCGCAGGCGGGAGAGAAGAACCGGAGGCCCTACTCGGGGAAGACATCGGCGGGGAACGCGTCTCGCCCGCAGGGCTGCTGCTCGCGGACTGAAATAGCGAGCGTCGCGTTTCCCGAATATCATCGGAACGTGGCCTCTGCTCTCGCTCGACGTCACTGCTTGGTTGCCGCATGGTGGATGGCGAAGCGCTCGATGTACCGGAAATAGGTGAGTCTTCCATCCCGTCTGTCCCCCCTGACGAGCGCGGCATCGTCATGAACTGCGGCTGCGACATGTACGGCTTCTGGCGTACATCCACGCTCATCGACCGCGTCTGGCGCTGGTACGGCCCACCACCTCTTGCACCTCTGCTCTCCTTCCTAGCAAATTTTGTCCGAATATTATCAGATAGCTTTCGAATAAACCGGACCTGCAGTGCGTTGTGAATACTGAATTCCGAATCCCGAGAAGCTTGAGAAATAACTCACTCGGAAACTTGAAGGTGCAGTCAATTCTACCGCTGATCGCGTTCGTGAGTCCGTCGCTGCCATCTCGTTCGTGCTTGCTCCCCTTTGCGTGTTTCGGGCAAGCGTTTCGTTCGAATGGCGTCTTAACAGGCCGGCATTGGAGGCAAAAGCAGGAATGACCGCATCCTTTACGGTTTCTGCAGCACAGCGAGGATGCGGGGGAGAATTCGGCAATCACGTGCCGTACATTATATAATCAGTCTGCCGCGGCAACTCTAGTTGCCACACCCACAACGGGAAGAGCTGTACCAAGTTCAACGTTCGGCATGGCTTCACCCGCGTCCTGTCGCTTTGCCTATCATATTCCCTGCCACCCTTGTGACAGGCACTCTGCGAACTTGTTATTTTCTGAGCAAGTCGAAACGTTTCGAAATGTACGACTAACTATCCCTGCACTTGGTGTCGATAAATAAATATAGCTCTCCCGGCAGGGCCACCTCTCCACTTTGTCCACACGGAAGAACCGCTACCCGCAGGCCCTCAAGATCCTTTCAAAGTGGATCCTACTGCGTTGATCACTTATTAAGGATCCTCGGGGCCGAGCTGTAGCCACTGGCACAAAGATCGGAGGAGACAGGTACGAAGGTATCACGAAAGTGTCCTCTGTAGGAAACACCAGGATCTCTAGCAGTCACTACGCGGTCTTCCGGAGAGAGGAAGGCAGGTTACCCCTTGCAATTCGACTTACACCTGCTGCACGTTCTGTTATCAGCGATACCGAGCCGATTCTATATCCACCACCATAACTCCAGCTGATATCACCTCTGGGCTGCACGACTTCACTGCGGGACTGCCAAACCCCGTCTGGGCACGTAAAGGAGCAATCGGAATGGACTGCTTCCGCCCTCCGATCGCAGCCTGCAGGTGAGTAATGTGCCTAGGCCGAGAGACGGCTTTGGAGCCCTTGCTTGGACTGTTGTATATCAATCCGTGCAATGGGCATGCCATCCTAGGTAATAGAATTGGGTTGTGGCCCAGCGTGCTTAAAAGGCACCGCCTGGTACAAACGCTAACGCCACGATGCCGTGTCACCTGGTTCGTTCGAGCCCTTAATATCTTGCAGTCCAAGAGACAGGCACATCCTAATTGGTTCGTTCGGTTTTCACTCACATAGATCGGAGGTTCTTGTAGGCCACTTCCGACCAGGATCAAAAGGCAAATGCCTACGGATCTCATAGCACGAGTGGGGTAATGTCTTTGTGCCGTCTTGATACGCAGTTTTCATTCGAGCTTGTTAGCATTCGTGGTACTAATTGTACAACGCTGCTATTCGGTACGTGTCTGCAGCAAAATTGGCCCGATTGGTAGCATCCATGCACTTACAGACGGTCGGAGTTGCCTGCGCTTTCAGAACTAGTGGACGAGTCGCTACGCTGCTCGAGGTCGACGTCGGAACAACTTTTGGAACAGCCTGAACACTACTTACCCAACATTTCACCTATCCACTCTTCGTAAAACAAGTCGTACAACCCGACGATCTTCATGCTATAAACGATGGCCTGCGGTATTTGTTTGTACACCACTTTGACCCGGTCATCGACAGTGCCGATTGGTAGGTGTCCTTCTGCGCGCCGCATCACTTCATCCTGCCGCTTCCTTGCCTCTGGAGTGTCATGGTAATAATACTCCAAGCGCATTTCTCGCAATCCCGTTGCCCGCGTCAGGCAAGCCAGCTGGTCGCGTGCGAACTGCCCCGCCCCCGAAGTAAAAATCCTGCGGAAGACGCGCGTATGGGGAGACACAACTATGTCCACCACTTCATCGTCGCGCATGAAGGTGTCGATGCTGGTGAAGTGGCTGATGCGAGGGTTGCGGCGGAAGTTCTTGAGGACTATAGCACCGTGGGCGGGCCCCATCCAGAGCGATTTCAGACTGGCGGGGATAGCGCTTTCGATAAAGCTCCAATCGTTCTGGTTCAGGGTTATGAGGGCCAGGCTCTGCAAAGACGTGCATTGCATGAGGATTTGGTGCGTCATCGTGAGGGGCCAACGTATGAGGTCCCCACTCCAGGGTGTTGAGCGGGGCTTGAAGGTCAGGAAATCCCCTTTCGATCCGTTGAGTGTAACTGGGCCGATCCACAGCTTGCGGACGGTGCTAGACAGAGGCCTGTTCTCTGACCCCGACTCGGTTGCTAAGGCATCTTCATTTCTTAGAGTCTGGAAGAAGGCATCGATCTGCCAAGTGCTATGCAACGTCACCGTGGTATATAGCATTGGGACTGTCCATGAATGAGTCGCTTTGGAGACCAGACTGAGGCGACAGCCCATGCGTGTATCATCTTCCACGCACATCTTGAATACTGGTCGCGACTTTGCGTTAGCATCCCGCCGTCCACGATAGGCAGGGGCATACACTTACTCTGTATCCGGGCAGATTTCTCATTGTTAGTTCGGACGGAGGACAGTCGATGCACGACGCACCAGCATAATTATTTCGACGGGGAGCCCACAGCTAGGCCCGTCTTCGAGCACGGTTGGTATCATATTCGAAGAGCTCTAGTCGGACGAACGGCTTGGTTTCCTTACGGTTGGAGATACCAATGGTAGGTCTTACCTGGCAACCCATTGGCGACTACGAGCACGGACAGCAAGCCCAGATTCTCGGTCGAGGTTTGTACCTGGGAAGATGAGAGAACGATAACAGCCGCTGTGATACTTAACGCGTATGCCTGAGGACGAAAGGTCAACACTGATTGGGTCAAGGACGGGTATACACTCGGCAATCACCGAATGCCAGGACCACTTCAAGTTATTCGGTTCGTCGATGGCGACCCGGTATAACTAAGGGTCCACTAGTAGAGTAAGTATAATGCTCCTGGATGCTGGGGACCTATGAACGTGAGGTGTTTAACTCAGTGTCCAGGTACTATTTGTCACACTCGCCAACTTCCTGATTTGGGGGGGAGCCTTCGCTTTGCCTTCCCGCGCGGATCAAACTGCGAATGGTACACTAGGCCATCTATCTTCCTACTCAGAGTTTACTTCTCAAGCTACCTGGACTTGCTCATCGGAGGAACGGGTAAGTGGTAATGCCGTGGTCTGGGAGGCACACTGCTGATGCACTTTGCTGTGGCAAAGAATCCTTCAGCATCAGCTGATGTACTTCTTCAACGTACCGCAAGACGCGTCGGACGAGTGGCGCATGCTTTTCGAAAATCTAGACGCCGATATGTGTAGTGACGAGTACCTGCTGGGTCGTCCCAAGGAGCTCGTCAGGAAGCAAAAGCTCGACCAGATGGCAACTTGCTCCATTACCAACGATTTTGACGCCGTCCTATCCGCGGAAGCTATAAGAGAGAGGGTGCGCCTGCTTAACATTCTCTCAACTTTCCCTAAATATATTAAATGTAGAGTTGGGCGCAGGGCAACGAATACTTCAGGCAAGGCATGGTAGGTAGAGCTCAAGTGATGTACCTGGCTGCCCTGGCCTTTGCACCGCTGCCGCTTGTCATGTTAAATCTAGCCGCGGTCATGCTCAAACAGAAAATGTGTGTGTCGGTCCCTCACAAACACGTTGCTTCAGGCTGGGCGTCACATTTCCCGGAAACTATACAAGCGGCTTACTTCATAGGTAACTGGGTGTCCAGGACTTCGCCACGCGGGTTCTCAATATGGGAGACATTTTAAGGGACGAAACCAAGACCAAAGCATATTACCGACGTGCTGTCGCTCGTCGACTACTGAGCCACGAAGGGAAACATCTGCGACAGGCTCTAGAAGGTCCGTCCGAAATTACTGAGGATCCGCTTTGATATTTCAGAAACTCATGTGATTCAAAATTATGCGTCGTAGATATCACTAACGCACTTATCCTCAGTCTCGCAGACGCTCAGATAGCGGAAGAGAAACGGAGGATCGAAGGAATGCTTACTCAACCGTTGCCGCAGCTCAAACGTATGATTGAGCAACAATGTTACGCACTTGGCACGTTTAACATTGCCAACTATGCTACGGACGACGATATAAACATCACAGCGAGGGAGTCTCGGGTCAACTGCACTAGAAAGTACGGTCCAGATTTTGACCACCGAACTACGCTTCCCCCGGGGTGGAAATACTAACAGGACTGTGCAATATATATATCAGAACACGCTGTTACAAATATGTCTCAATAACGTTGTGATGATCCGCGTTGACAAGTACTGTGTATGAACACATCAGGAAACGCGTTCTGCGGCATAGGAGGACCCTAGCCACATAGTGCGGTATAGACAGGATAGACATTGATAGCAGGCGGCACGCGCCATAGGGACACATAGTCAACGTAGGTTCGATTCGCACATGTCGCATAATTTTTGCCACCTTGCTGCAGGGCACGTTTCCGAACCAGTAGAAAGATATTGAGTATAATTACATGATGGGTAGATATACAGAGAATGTCAAGCAGGGGGTTGCAGGAGGAAGAATGTCCGAATATCTATATATCTATTAACAAGGAATGTCTTACAATCTTCCAACACATTCTCGGATGTCCACCGAGGGCTGATCTCTGTACCAAACTTAGGTACGAGATGACATCCTCCTATAACATGCGAAAGTTCAATAACCTCAGCATTGGGTCTCCCGCCGCGCGTTGAACGAGAAACCCAATGCATCTGTAATGTCGGATCCCGGGCAGTGAATGGTGTAAACCATTCGACGTACGCAAGGAGGGTTGCATGTCGTCCCCGGCGGTATTGTAAATGTTCCGGTAGACGGAATATAACACGCAGCTGTGCGACGCGCAGTCCTACCCTCACGAAAGACATGTCGGCAATCAAGTACGAGCCTGGCAATGGAATATACGCACCGTGAAGAGCCGTGCCTATGGCATGGCCATTACTGTCACCTCCGTC